TCTCTCTCTCTCTCTCCCTCCCTCTCTCTCTCTCTCTCTCCTTCATTCATTCATTCATTCAAGATTTTATTTACTTGACAGAGAGAGCACAAGTAGGGGGAGCGGCAGGGAGAAGGAGAAGCAGGCTCCCTGCTGAGCAGAGAGCTGGAGGTGGGACTCCATCCCAGGATCCCCGGACCGTGACCCGAACCGAAGGCAGATGCTTAACGGACTGAGCCACCCAGGCGCCCCTTGATTTCTTTTCGAAAGCAACAGCTCAAGCAAGATAAAAACTGTAGAACTAAAGAAAAACAATCAGAATTAGACCTTTAGGTGTAATTTCATGCTTAGTCCTTAAGCAGGATACATATTCCTTGTCTGTGGACCAATGCCATAAGAAACACATCTATCAAAAAGTGACATTAACTTGCTTTTTTTGACATTAACTTCTATTCCTACCGAAAACAAGGAACAGCTGGAACTAGTCATGCTGCGCAGCCTCCATATTGAGATTTCTCATCTGCAGAGAATTACTAGGATTTAGGGAAGGCAGCCCATCAGGAAATAATATTTTAACTAAATTTATCTTTCCCAAGAGCATATCTTTTTTTTAAGTTAAAATATGTCATAGAATTTTAAACCTGCTGAGTAAAAAGCGTTTCTGTAAGGCTGATTTCTGATTTGCTAAATTCTTTGTACTCTTCATTTTTCTCACTTTGAAGAAGAAAAGGTATGTTTCAGGAAGAGAAACTCAGTTCTCAAGAGCATCTAAGGAGGAATCAGAGAGAGGGAAAGAAGCACTCGGGCTCTCTGATGACTTTATTTCAAGTCCGCATTTCAGACAAGACACAAACTGCTTGGAAGCGTCCCTTCACTTTCCTCATTTCCTTGTTCCCACAGTTATCCCTGCCTGAAACCGCAAATGAGAAGGCATTTATGACCAGGCTTGACGGGAAAACACCCTTGCTTTTTTTTTTCTCTCACTTCAAGCCTGTGGGTATCATCTTACCTCCGCAAAAAGAGATCCCAGTAATGCTGAGGGTGAGTAACATGGGGATAGAAATTTTCAGGTAGCTCCATTCTGCTGTGTTGTCACCCGTCCACACAGCACCTTGGATCACCGGTAACAAGTTATTAAAAAAAAAAAATCACAAATCAGCCCATGCACTTGATTTCATAGATTCTTTATTTGAAATAGACAAGTTAATATAAAGGAAAGCATTTCTTTCTGACCTTAAAATATATGAATTCTGGTTTCAGCAATTAAAAATGTATTAATCTTTGTGAAAAAGTTCTTAAAAATCCACAAAACCTTTTGTGAAAATGTTCTGAAATGGCACTTATTTTTGAAGTATAACTCAAGCCTGATTTTAGGAGAAACATTAAAAAAATCAACTTTACTGAAATGTGATTTACATATAATAAATACCTATTTTAAGTGAAGAGTCTGATGAGTTTTGAAACCTGTAACTGTCACCACAAGCAGGGTACAGAACCATTTCCGTAATTGTAAAAGATCACATGGGCTTTTTTTTTCCCAGAAATAATGGCTTTATTTATGCTTTGCTGATGTTGCTTAGACTAAAATTCTTTTTAAATGAATCCTCTTCATATGAATACTTAGTTAAAAAATCAATTTAGATTCAGAACATTCATAGGATTCTGCATGGGCTTCTTTGTAGTGAATAACCCTCCACTTTACCCAAACATTGATCTGATTATTCTTAAAGTCTTTTCTAGAATTTCATATAAACATAACATAAAACACACTATTTTGTGTTCTAGTTTTTTCACTCAGCATAATGTTGTAGCTTATTCCTTTTTATTTGATAAATAGTATTCCATATTATGGATCGATCACAAGTTGTTTATCCACTCACCTACTGAGGGACATCTGAATTCTTTCCAAGTTTTGGCTATTTGAAGGAAGATGCTATAAATATTTCTGTACAAATATTTGCATGACGTGTTTTTCATTTCTCTTGGGTAACTACCTGGGAGCAGAACTGCTGGGTCTGTGTTCAGTGTATGTTGAACACTTTAAAAAAACTCCAAACTGGGGGTGCCTGGGTGGTGCAGTCAAATAAGCATCCGGTTTCGGCTCAGATGGTGATCTCAGGGTTATGAGATCAAACCCCATGTCGGGCTCCGAGCTCAATGTGGAGTCTGCTTAAGATTCTCTCTCCCCCTCTCCCACAGGCCCCCCTCCCCACCCCCCACATGTGCTCTCTCTCAAATAAATTTTTTTTTTTTTTTTTAAGAAAAATCCAAACTGTTTGGCATAGTGGCTATACTGCTTTTACAGTATCAGTACATGACAATTTCAGTCACTCTACATTCTTGGCAATACTTGGTAGTGTCAGTCTTTTTAATTCTAGCTACTGTAATGGATGTGTAGTAGTGTCTGTGGTTTTAATTTGTATTTCCCTACAGACTAATGATGTTGAGCATCATTTCATGTATTTATTGATCATATGTCTTCTTTTGTAAGGTGTCTATTCAGATCTTTTGCTTATTTTTAAAAGTAGATGTCTTTATTATTTAACTGAAAAGTTCTTTATATATTTTGGGTACAAGTCCTCTGACAGATATGTATATTGAAGATATTTGCTCTCAATCTGAAGCTTGACTTTCATTTTCTTAATATCTTTGAAAGGGTAGAGGTTTTTCATTTTGATGAAGTCCAAGTTAGCACTTTTTTTCCTTTTATGGTTCATGCTTTTTGTGTTCTCTCCAAGAAATCTTGTCTATCTCAAAGTCACAAAGATTTATGTTTCCTTTTAGAAGTTTTTAATTTTAGCTTTTATAGTTTAGGTCTATATTCCATTTTGAATGTTTGTGTAGTGAGAGGTAAGGTTCTTTCCCCCTCCCCCTCCCCCCACTCCATACTCAGGGTTCTGACACCATTTATTGAAAAACTCCTTTCTGCACTGAATTGCCTTGGTAACTCTGTTCCTAATTAATTGATCGTATGTGTGTTGGACTCTTTCTGGGCTCTTAATTCTGTTCCATTGATTTACATGCCTATTCCTCCATCCCCTCAAAAAAAAACCCTCTATAATTTAAGAGGAGTGGTACAGACTACATAAAGGAGACATAATAATAGTAGCAAGAACAACAGTTAACATTTTTCAAGCCCTTACTGAGCCAGGTGATTCTACTTTGCTTGTAGTAGCCCACGTAATCATCACAATCCTACCAGGTAAACACTATTTAACTTCATTTTACAGATGACAGAAATATGGCAAACAGTGATTATTATAGTATACCCTGAGTAACACAGTTATTATGTGGTAGAGGCAGGACTGAGCTCAGGCAGTCTGATTCTAAAGCCACTGCTCTTGATCACTGTATAGTAGATAAGAATTTGTGAAGATAGATTATATACCACTAAAGAGATCCACAAAAGAAAAAAATCTTACTTTACTAAATCTAGATTAGTCTGGAAGCATTTTCTACCAAACTAGCTTTGGTAGCTCTTTTTGTATTAATCTTCCATAGAAATTTTTGGCTGTTGTATGGCCAGCAAAGAAAAATCTTTACAAGGGACTTTTTTTTTTTTTTTTTAAAGGTACTCTAATAATTTCGCCTTGACTTCAAATGAGATAAAATGGTTTTGAAATCGACATGGCGGCATTCTCTTCAAGAAAGAAAGTTCTTGTAAAAGCATGCACATCTTTTCATGTCTCATATGGTTGTTCAGTCAGAAGCGCTCTTTGGTTATTGGTCTAAGCGTAAGACTTGACACAGTAGTGTTCTCTGCAATGAGTCACTTGCTACACTTTGCAGCAGGCTGATAGTTTCACACAGAGCACTGAAGGCTAGGCAGTAGGCCGATATTTAAGGGATCAGAGATTACTTAGTATGCACATCTTTTATCATCATTTTTAAACTACTTAAAAGTGTTTTTGTTAAAAACACTTGACTTTTCTTAGTGATTAAAAATGACCCTTGTAGAGAATATGGAGAATAGAGATAGGTAAAAAGAAAAAAATTTTAAAAATCATTCATAATCACCCAGGTACTAAACTTACTGATTTAGATTGCCACCTATATTTTTTAAAATAAAATCGTGATAATATACTACAAAAACATTTAAGCATTCCTCTTTTTTCCCCCATTTATCATGATGTCACAAACATTTGCTCATGCAGTTAAGGCTACTATTTTAAACAGTCTTATAATAGTCTGTCATATGGATATATCATGTTTTTATAAATATTCCTTTATTTGGATTTTTTTTTTTTTTTTTTTCAGGAAGTAATGCTGTGATGAGCATCCCTGCACATGAATCTTTGCCTGAGATAACAATATTTTGGCCTTTTCCAGAGTGCCACAGGGGCTGGTTTTCAGGGCTGGAGGAAGAAGCCTAATAATGTCTATGATACAGGAAAGACTGGATTCTTCAAACTAGGACCTAAGCTCCCAGTTATTTAGCAAGGCCAGGACACTTAAAATAGCCTTCCTGCTGGAAGGTGGTTAAGCTGAATTAGATCTGCGTTAGCTAGTAAACTGAATCCAGTTATAGATGACCCTGACCATAAGCAACAGCCAGACCTATTTTAAGCCATATTGCTAAGTGAAACAGGTGGTTGAAGGAATGTCTAAGAAGACATTTTTCCCTGGTTTAGATAAACAGACAGAATCAGAGATGACCATCCCAGCAAACAAACTGAGCTATTCTCCCAGCAACTAAGTGTCCATTTCTTCAATGGGAAACAAGTAACTAAACTTTATTAAAATTGATGTACTGGGGCGCCTGGGTGGCTCAGATGGTTAAGTGTCTGCCTTCGGCTCAGGTCATGATCCCGGGGTCCTGGGATCGAGTCCCGCATCGGGCTCCCTGCTCCTTGGGAGCCTGCTTCCCCCTCTGCTTCTCTCTCTCTCTCTCTCCTCCTCTGTCTCTCATGAATAAATAAATAAAAAAATCTTTAAAAAAAATAAAAAAATAAGATTGATGTACTCTGTCTCACAGGACAAAAGGCATACTTCAGGGCATATCACATGCTACAATCGAAGGCCTTCCCAATTGCCACTGAAAAGGAAGGTATCAAAACAGTAGCAACATATGCCATAAATGGTTAAAAAAAAAAAAAGGCAGTTTGCTAACTTACATTTTTAATTCTGATCATATGAGCCATTCCTTACCATACTTTTGTGATCCAGCAAAGAAAGAACGTGTAAGAACAAAGGGTCTCTCCTTCCCCTTAGATCGTTGTATCAGTCCTTCTGCGGTAGCCATTTGCTACAGAGGTAAAGGAGAAAAATTTCAAAGGGATGATTAGGGCATTGTGCAGATATCCCTAATAAGCTACTGAGCATGCAAAAAGTAAATACGTGGGAATATAAAATGGAAAATATGAAAATCCACCAAATAATTTTCATGATGTAATGAAACTACTCTAAATTCCCCTACCAAGAGTGGAAAATTTTCTTTTATTAAAAGAAATGAAGATAATAAATAAGCTAGCATATTCAATGCTTACAATTGCTAAGCATTTTATAAGATTTTCTCTTAAAATCTATAGAACAACCTCTTGAGATTGACCGTTTTCATTGATGAAAAAAATTGAGATTCAGAGAGGTTAAGTGACTGGCTCTGGCCTACATAAGAAAATTCTCTAAAGTAGGTTGCGGTTATAGCAAGAGGCTTTTAAGGAAGTAAAGCACAGTTCAGATAGTATGTGTTTATGTAGGCAGCAACTCCCACTGGAAAATATACCAGTTGGTGGGAGGGCCTTAGGAACACAGTTACAGGATGAAAATAACAAAGAACCACGGATATCAATCAGGGCAAATGACTGACAAATGTTTTCAATGTGACTAGCAAATGGAAGACAATTCTACCATCTTCTAATGAGAAGGCTAAGTAGCTTTTTTATTTTATTATGTTAGTCACCATTCACTACATCATTAGTTTTTGATGTAGTGTTCCATGATTCATTGTGTATAACACCCAGCGCTCCATTCAGTACATGACCTCCTTAATACCCATCACTGGGCTAACGCATCCCCCCACCCCCTTCCCCTCTAAAACCCTCAGTTTGTTTCTCAGAGTCCATAGTCTCTCATGGTTCGTCTCCCCCTCCGATTTGCCCCCCTTCATTTTTCGAGAAGGCTAAGTAGTTAAGGCCTTCTAAAAAAAAAAAACTTACTGAAATTCTGTATCTATGTTCTAAATCTTATCCCCCTGGTATGAATATGACTTGCTATATTTAGACATCTGTGAAATTTCATTTTTTTTTATAAGATTTTGAGAAAGAGTGAGCACGAGCAGGGGAAGGGGCAGGAGGAGAGAGAGAAACCGACTTCCTGCTGAGCAGGGAGCCTGACACAGGGCTCAGTCCCAGGACCCTGGGATCATGACCTGAGCCAAAGGCAGACACTTAACCAACTGAGCCACCCAGGTGCCCCCGTTTGTGAAATTTCAAAAAATTTGTTTTAATTGCTTTTGTTTATGTATTTATACATTGCCTACTCCAATTTTGAGGTATTCAATGCCATTTATTAAAGACTCCTGTCAAGGAAGATGTTTCTATGTTACCATTAATCTCATAATATCTGTAATTCATCAAGTTCATTAGAGAAGGAAAAGGTGCAAAGAAATAGTATGTCCTTTATTGGCTACAACCTGTAAGATCCATTGCAGTTGTTAGAAAAGTCACACAAAGAGAAATGAACAATATAGTATAGCTATTACAAATGACTTTCAACCCAAAAGGCAGGGCACGTAAGTCCCAGTGGCTTCTTTATGGATGTCTTACCTGATAAAAACCATAGATGTTGTGCAGTTCCCTGTGCTCCCAATTGCCATGATGAATGGCATTCTTCTGCATGGTTAGCTCTGGCCCTCTAAAGACAGAGGGCTCATTCATGTCGTTCCATATGTAGAGGATGTCAGTAGATCCCTAGGAAGTAAATTTCTTCTTTGGTCATGATAATACTCCTATAGTGATGATGTTAATATGATAGCCACCCTATTCCTCTTTCATAATCCATTTATTATTACTATGTTTATTATCTATGTTCTGTCTTCTGTTCCAATGCTATAATAAAAGGTCCACAGGGCAGGGAATTTTGTCCATTTTGTTCATTGATAAATCCCAAACACCTAAAACAGTAGCTGAACTACCAAAGGTTCCCAATAAGTATTTGTCGATGAATGAAAGAATGCTGTGTGGTACTGTCTGTGAAATATACACTGCCCAGCAAGTCCACTCCAAGACCTACTCTGGAGAACCCCCATACAGGAAAGGTTGTGAATGTTCACAGATTCTATAACAACCATCATCTGCTACAACTCTTAACTAAGGGCAATTAAAGCTTTCCACGATAAGATTCTGCCTTCCCTCTAATACTCTGAAGACTTTTTATTAAAGATTTTTATTTTTCCTTGTCAGAGAGAGAGAGAGAGAGTGCACAAGCGGGGGATTGGCAGGGAGAGGGAGAAGCAGGCTCCTTGCTGAGCAAGGAGCCCGATGCGGGGCTGGATCCCAGGACGCTGGGATCATGACCTGAGCTGAAGGCAGATGGTTAATGGACTGAGCCACCCAAGTGTCCCTACTTTGAAAGACTTGGCAGCCAGTATACCTGTTTGTTAGCATGGTCTAGAGTTTGTATTTTACAAAGGAATTGTTCAACTGAGAGTGGGAAGGGGCTGCTGAGTCAGTTAACATGGTATTGAAATCCCTTTTATAGAATCCCTGGTCTCTCAGCATTTGACTCTAGCTACAGTGACAGGGAGTCCCTCAGGAAGCTCATTCCATTACTTTCTAAAAGTCCTGCCCCTTGTAACAACCTCTCAGTGGGTCTGGCTTGTCTTTTGGGATGCCACAGAATACATCTGCTGCCTCACCCACACGCCGGTCATTTAGATGCCTAGGGGAGACTTAAATGTATTCTTTTGACTCTACCTTCAACTATCTCTAAACATGTATACTTTTATGAACAAGGCTATATGGTTTCCAAACATTTAACTACCTTGACTGTCCTCCAGTAGCACTCTCCAAGCCAGGGGTTGGCAAATGTTTTCTAGAAAGGGCTGGATAATATTTCCAATTCTGCTGACCATAAGGCCTCTTTTTCAGTAACTCAACTCTGATATAGTGTGAAAACAGCCATAGACGGTAGGGAAATGAATGAACACGGCCAGATTTCACCCGAGTGTTATTTATCCCTGCTCTAAGTTGTTTTCTGTGTCCTAATACATGATGCTCAGAAACTAGAGTTTAGTGGTTAAGACTTGGGCGTGAGAGACAAACAGACTGAGATCAAATCTTAGGTCCAGCACTTAGTAACATGGGTGAACTGAGCAGGGTTTTAAACTTGTCCATACATCAGTTTCCTCATCTGTGGGATTAGAATTATAGTTCCAACTTCAGAGGTTTTTGTGAAGATGAAACGGTAAAATGCACATAAACTGCTTAGCGCAGTGCTTGGCACACAGCAAAGAACTCAATTTATATGAGGCATCACTATCATCCTCCTAATTGGTTGAAAACAGTTCTCTACAAGTGGCCTTTCTGGTTCTCTCTGGGATTCTTATAATATTTTAAGGATTATTTATTATTTCACTTACTTTTTTTAATTTCAAGTTTTATTACACTTTTTTTTAAGATTTTAGTTTTTTATTAGAGAGCAAAGCAGGTGAAGGGGCAGAGGGAGAGGGAGAATCAGGCTCTCCACTGAGCAGGGAGCCTGATGTGGGGCTCGCTCCCAGGACTCTAAGATTATGACCCCAGCCGAAGGCAGACACTTAACTGAGCTACCCAGGCACCCCTACACCTTATTATTTTTTTTTTTAAAGATTTTATTTATTTATTCATGAGAGACAGAGAGAGAGAGAGAGAGAGAGAGGCAGAGGGAGAAGCAGGCTCCCAAGGAGCAGGGAGCCCGACGCGGGACTCGATCCCACGACCCTGGGATCATGACCTGAGCCGAAGGCAGACGCTTAACCATCTGAGCCACCCAGGCGCCCACCCCTACACCTTATTTTTAATGTCACATTATACTTTGCAAGATACTCTCATATATGTCACTACCATCATTTTTAAGCTATAGAATATTTTGTGTAAAGTTTATGTAGTAATTTGAAAATATAAATTTCTATTATTAAGTAGTTTGATATATCACAGAGTCTATTATGATTGAGGTAGAAATCACAGCTTTTGTGCCTTTGATAATTTATATGGCACCTCTCCTGGCACCATTAAAGTCTGTAATGTGGTTGCTATCCTTGCATTTTCAACCAAGTAGTATTTATCAAGAGCTACTCAATGAAGCAGAGTAGTTATATTCTATCATGTTTTTCCTTCTTTCATCCTTCCAAGTAACTAGGAAAGAGCAAAAGAATAAAAACAAACCTGATAAGCAGAGAAAGTGAAAAGACCGGAATACCACTCTCTGACCTTGGGATTGGTGAAATCCAGGTAAGAGGAGAGACCTGTAGAGGCAGAAGAGTAGACTGTGAGAAACAGTGGTGTTCATGGTAGGATGTGTGGTAAAGATCTAAAAGCTGGCTGATCACTGGGTACCTTAGACGTAAGGTAGCTGAGGTAGAGGCACGGTCATGCAAGACGTGAAGGAAGGCAATGCTGGACTCCAGTGATAATCAGTAGACCTTCCAACCCGAGAAGCCCAGGGGAAGGCCAATGAAACAAGCATCTAGATGGAGCCTGTCCCTCACTGATGGCCCAAGATAGCCCAAGTAAGCATGGCAAATATCCTAGAGTGACCCTTCTGTCCTTAAAGAGAACAGAGAAGTGTTGACAGGTGGTGTAAGGGGGAAAAGGAATGCATGGGGTGTCTCTTCAGTACGTGGCTTTGTGATAGAGTGCCAGGATATGATAGAGTGGTGATTCCCCTTTGTCCTCAGGTTTCTACCATGGCTTTAAACTAATAATTTCTGAAATGAAGAACCCAGAGTTGCTGGAGGCAGCTGAGGTCACTCATGAAAGGCTGGGAAATCAAAACTACGGGCTAACAAGGCACAGAAGATTCACAGGGAGAGACTGCAGGAACACTTTTTCTTGGCTTTTTATTTTTATTTGCTTAGAGAAATGGAGTGCTTGCTTATTTTTTATTCATTCATTGACTGATAAATGTATTCAAAGCACTCTGTACCAGGTGTTATGAAAGATACAAAAGAAGGTAATACCATCTCTTTCTTAAAGGTGCTTACACTATAGCGAGGGACATCTATAAGAAATGAGGGTGATGGCCATGCAACCTTCATTAATTGGGACTAAACAAGTGAATTAATAAGTATATAAAGTGCTATCTTACCAGGCCAGCATACCCCTTCAAAGTCTCCTCCTTCATGATTCCTCACAAAGAAGCCCTGTTCTTTGGCCTTAACATACACTGAGTAGTTAGGATCGATCTTGATGTGGGGGTCACTGATGACCACAAGCTGTCCGGACATAGAGGTTTGAAGAGCTCATCAGTTTCATAGGAGTTATACGTTCATTTTTAGGCTTTCATCATAGTTTTGGGGTTCAAATTTTACTCAGAAATAACTACTAGTATTGAAATATTTAAGACATCAGTAAAACCCTAACACTTTTCATGCTTATGGAAATTGAACTGGTATCAAAACCAGGCCACTGCTTTTTTAATTACTGCTGCCCAACCAATACATGTTCTCAAAATAGCAGTTATTAAGCTTCTGTCTGAGGTGCTGGGTGCTATACATAAAGGATTAAGTCATCCTTGCTCCTAGACATCTAGAGGCTAACACTGACAAAAGCAAACACTAAAGAAAATACAAAACAAACCTTCCCAACCCAATGGTACAGGTATATTTAGGACGGAGGTTTGAGAAGAGCTGTGATCACAGCTCTGTGTCTCTAAGGTCTCTACCTTTCTAATGCCATCACTTCCTAGTCCAAAGACACAAAACCCTTTATTTGGTTATAACAACCTTCTCATCATCCTTCCTCAGGTCTATTCAAATTTATTCTACATACTAAAGTTTAATTCGCCATTGCTCAAAAACTTTAAAAAACTCTTAATTGTGGTAAAATATACATAATATAAAATTTACCATCTAAACCAATTTTAAGTGTACAGTTCAGTAGTGTTAAGCACATTCACAGTGTGGTACAATGTCCAGAACTCTTTCCATTTTGTAAAACTGAAACTCTATACCCATTAAAAGCAACTCCTCATTCCCTCGTCTGCCCATCCCTGGGCAACCACCATTGTTCTTTCTGACTCTATGATTTTAACTACTCTAGGTATTACAGATTAGTGAAATCATATAGTATTCATCTTTTTGTGACTACCTTATTTCAATTAGCATAACGTCCTCAAGCTTCATCCATGTTGTGGCATGTATCAGAATTTCCTTCCTTTTTAAGGCTGAATAATACTCCATTGTATATATGTGTGTATTATATTTTATTTACCCAATCATCTGCTGATGGGACACTTGGATTGCGTCTACCTTTTAGTTATTGTGAATAGTGTGGCTATGAACACGGGCTTATCTGCATGAGCATATCTGCTCAAGTACCTGCTTTCAATTTCTTTGAGTATATTCCCGTAAGTGGGATTCCTGGATCATATGGTAATTTTATTTTTAATTTTTTAAGGAACTGGCATACTGTTTTCTGTAGTGGCTGCACCATTTTACATTCCCACGGTTAGTGTTCCAATTTCTCTACCTCCTCACTTGTTATTTTCTGGTTTTTCATAGTAGCCATCCTAATGGTATGAAATGGTATCTCATTGTGATTTTGATTTGCATTTCCCCAAAGATTAGTGATGTTGAGCATCTTTTCATGTGCTTGTTGACTATTTGTATATCTTCTTTGAAGAAATGTCTATCAAGTCCTTTTCCCAATTTTTAATTGGGTTGTTTGCTTTTGGTTGTTGAGTTGTAGGTGTTCTTCATATATTCTGCATATTAACCCCTTATTCAAAAACTTCTAATGTCTCCAAATGTATACAAACCAGCCTACGATAAGGTCAGATTCCCTACTACTCAAACCTTGCACATGCCTTGTTTTCTTGCCAAACCAACCTGTGAGCTGTTTTCCAAACACCACTGGCTGCTTCAGCCTCTGGCTACGCTGTCTCCACCCACTCCCCACTTCTCACCTAGAGACTCATCCTTCAGGGCTCATCTAAAATGCACAAAGCCCAGCGTGAGTCCAGCTGGATGCAATCTTCTTTCTCCTAGTCCATTCCTGACCCTGACCTTTCTTTGGTGTTATATTATTGCCCAATATTGTGGTTGTTGTATACCTGCCTTTCCTCCACTCACTGCAAGACCCCAAGGAGCTCATCTTTGCATTCCCTCATCTTTAGAACAGCATTTTGAACATCTGATTGATGGCTTCAATAAATAGTTGCTTATAAGAATATGGGTTCTGGAGTTAGGCAGATCAGAGTTCAGATTTTTATTCTACTACTTATTATATGCCTTTGTGCAAAATACAAAACTATTCTTAGCCTCAGTATCTTCATCTGAAAAATGGGCTAACAAGATCTACCTTTTAATTTTGTGATGACTGGCGAGAATAATGTGTTCTATCAAACTCTCTGGCCCATAGTAAGTACTTGCCAAATGGTAGCTATTAATTGAGAAATTAGGAGAATGGGAAATGAAGAATCTGTCTCCATTTCTGATTGACTGTTAAGAGCTTTCAAGCCATTCCATCCCCCCTTACCCTTCTGCCCACATCTGACAAAGAAAGCCCTAATGCTTCCTCCTTGGGTGCCAGCAGGAAGTTCAAACCACACAAGCCCCAGGAATACACAGGAATCCTCACCCCAGTGCAACCCTCTAACCACCATAAAAGCTGAGCTGTCTCCATTCCCAGATCGCTCAAGCCATCTTCAGACCAGCCTGAGAGCCAGCCCTGCTTCCCCTAGAATGCCTCACTATGTGACTAATTAACCTTTTCAGACCCTGTGGTGTCCACATGATGTCCTCAATCTCAAGACTGATGTTGACATCAGTACCACATTTTGTTTTTGGGGTATCCATCATAACCCTACAGGGTGGCCACAACAAACGGGACTGAATGCTAGGCCCTGTTATCCTGTGGGGACCTAGACAGCTAAGGCAGGGACGGATGGTGGGACCATCTTTCCACCACTGCTTTCCTATTATCACAGTTACGATTATATTTGATGGTATTATTTTCATGGCCATTTTTTATCAGGTGGCTCTCCTCCACTAATGTGCCAAGGCAAGTTTTAAAAATTAAACAAGTGCTTTGTAATTAAGAGGTTTTGAAGGGTCCGCTTATTTTACCTTACGGTTTTTGCTTCTGAGCAGCTCTTGCATCCTTTTGGGGTTTGGGAATCTTTTCTTGTCCCAAGTGAAGTACCTTTTGCCCTCGGTATGCTCTATGTCAAGCCACATGACATCATAAGGAATGTCATGTTCATCAAATCCTGCATCCACCTGTTTTATGTCCTGCTCATCCTCATAGTTCCAGCGGCACTGATGGTACCCCAAGGAGAAGAGAGGGGGCATGGCTTGTGTGCCTGAAAGGGGAAGATGACAACTGAGCTGGCTACCATCACAATGATAATTACATACATGATAAACATTTCCTGAATGTCTACAGAGTCTAAGCACTGAGCTTGATACTTAGCATATCAAGGAGAAGAAAACATAGTCCTTACCCTGAAGAAAGTGAAAATTCGGCTGGTGAGGCAGGCATGTAAATTAACTGCTCTGCTCTGAGGTATAACTGCTATGTTAAAGGTAGCAGCCTAGTGTTATGGGAATACAGAGGGGTTAATAAATTCTGCCTGCAGTAAAGTGTGGGGTCTTGGAAGGTTTCATAGAGGTAGTAACACTTGGTTTGGACCTTGAAGAATAGGAGGAATCTACCAGAGAGAATGGATAGAACACTTAGGCACAGGGCATAGAAAAGACACAGAGGCAAAGAAGTACATGATAAATTTAGGGAAAAATAAATATTCTAGGGTGGTTACATTGTGAGAGAGACCAGTAGAAGATGAAATTGGAGAGGGCCAGTTTGTAAGGGGCACTGTAGTTCAAGCTAGGAATGCTAAATCTTCCCTTATGGGAAGTCATCAAAAGTTTGGCAAGATGTAACCTTAGCAGACTTATGTTTTAGAAAAATTAGGAGCAGTGTTGAGACAGACTTAAAAGCAAGGAGACTAAAGACTAAAAAAACTCAAATTATTATCAAAACATTTACTGATAACATGGAGGACTTCTGGTCAACCACTTGCATTTATCTCCTTCCCCTCCTCAAGTCCCAATAAAATCAGAGTAAAGGAAAGAAAAAAAGAATAAAGCCACAAGACCAAAGAGAATGGGAGAGGAGTAATTTCAACAAAATTTTGGAAGGTGGCAGGCAGGGGATGGATGGTAACCGTTGAGCAAAGTGAGGGAAGCTCTCACCAGAGTGCTTGTGAGGCGGATACTGAAGAGAAAAGCTCACCCCTGCTCCCAGAACAATAGCAGATGGAAGACCACCTCCCCCCACCCCCCGCCACTTTCCAACCCCAGTACTGGAGTGCTTCCAGGCAGAACCTTATTCAAATCCTCGAATATGAGAAAGACTCACATGTAGAAATACAATAAAAGGATCTCTGAGAAAACAGGGACAATACAAGAAAAGTAAACATCAAAACATTATCATTAGTATTTTGGGGGAGATGAAAAAAGATATTGCACCCATGAAAGACTAGTATAAGATATTGGGAACAAAAAACAATCAGAGGATAAGAAAAAAGTATGAAGAAATTAGACATATAGAAATTGCTCAGAAAAAAAGGGAGATTATAAAATCTGTACAGTAGAAAAAGAAAAGGGAAGGGAAGAAATTATCAAAGGAATAATGAAAGATTGTTTTCCAAAACTGAGGGACACATTTCTCAAGGCTGAAAGAGTCCACATCTAATAACCAACACAATAATTATTTAAAAAGATCCATATCAAGGCATTTTATTGTCAAATTTCAGAATTTCAGAATATTAGAAATTTCAGAACATATTTCAGGGAGAAAAGACAGATCATATACAAAGAAACAGAATTCAGAGTGATTCTGGAGCAAGAAGATAGAAGGTAAAAGAGAAATGCCTTTGAATTCTGAGAGAAATAATTTTCAATCTAGCTAGCCAAATGATCAACCAAGGGAGAAAAAGAGATGTTTTTGTACCTGCAAAGATGGAAAAAGTGTACCTCTAATGCACACTTTCTTAGGAAACTCCCAGGATGACAGCTGTGCAGGGAGCCCAGAGAGAAACAACCCCAATGGGGGCAGGACAGAGAGATCTGGGAAGGAAGTCTCTGGGGAGAAAATTAGAATGAATAGAATATCTGACACTCTTGAGCATTTGAAAAATATAAACACTAAATATTGACTTAAGCAAAAATGATGATAAAACGATACTGGGAGAGAAGAAGGAGGGATATGATCGAGTTGAATCCTCATCAACAGATAATCTGTAAACTTAAAACTTGGATTTCTTTGGACATGGTGGCAGATCCAGTGTTTTTGAAGCATTTTCCTATAAACTAGGCTTATTCTCCATAATAACAATGTTGAAAGAGGCTGTAGGTGGACCTTTACAGTACTTTTTCCTATATGAGTGTCTTCCCATGTCCATAAATTTTTGGTGGTTTCTCCCATCAAAGTTAGAATCAAATTCCTCTTCCCCTGAACATGGGCTGGATGCAGGGACTTTTAATAGAACGTAGCAGAAGCGATGCTGCATTACTTTTATTTCTAACAGCTTTATTGAGATGTAACTCACATTCATACAGTTCACCCACTTAAAGCATACAATTCAACTTTTGGGGATATATTACATTACCATTTTTTAAAAACTGTGGCAAAAAATATGTAATACATAAAATTTGCTATTTAAACCATTTTAAAGTGTACAATTCAGTGGCATTAATTACATTCAGAATGTAGTATAAGCATTACCACTAGCTATTTCCAAAACTTTAATATCACCCCAGACTGAAACTGTAACCATTAAGCCATAACTATCCATTGCCCATCCCACCCTCCAGCCTCTGGTAACAGCTAATCCACTTTTTGTCTCTTATGAATTTGCCTATTATAGGTACTTCATGTAAGTGGAATGATATAGTATTTGTCCTTTTGTGTCTGGCTTATTTCATTTTGTATAATGCTTTTAAGGTTCATTCATGTTGCAGCCTGTATCTGAATGTCATCCCTTGTTATAACTGAATAATGTTCCATTTTATGTATTTAACACATTTTATTGATCCACTCATCTTTGATGGGCACTTGGCTTGTTTCCATCTTTTGGCTATTGTGAACAGTGCTGCAATGATCATTGGCATCCAAGTATCCAAGCATCCAATTTTAGTGGAATTGCTGGGTGTATTAGGGTTCTGCAGAGGAAAAGAGTTAATAGGATGTGTCTTTGTACGTGTATATTTATACATAGAGAGAATGATTTTAAGAACTGGTTCATGTGATTGTTGGGGCTAGCAACTCAGTTCCACAGGGCAGGCTGGCAGACCAAAGACCCAGGGAAGGTGCAGCTTGAGTATGAAGGCAGTCTGGAGACAGATTCCTTTCTCTTCAGAGGACCTCAGTCCTTTTCTCTTAACGTTTTCAACTGACTGGATGAAGCCCACCCACATATGGAGTGTAATCTGCTTTACTCAAAGTCTATTGGTGTAACTAATAGTACTGACAGTATAATGTCATCTTAAAAAATAACTTCACAGTGACACCTACACTAGTGTTTAACCAGATATCTGGATACCATGACCTAGGCAAGCTGACACATAAAATCCTATGCTTAGCTTTTTGACGAAATGCCAAACTGTTTCCAGAGCAGCTCAACTACTTTATGTTCCCACCAGCAGGTAATGAGGTTCCAATTTCTCCACATCCTCACCAACCTTTATTATTTTCTATTTTTTAAAAAATTTAGCTGTCCTAATGGGTATCTCATGTGGTTTTAATTTTCCTTTTCCTAACAACTAATGATGTTGAACAACTTTTCATGTGCTTATTAATCCATTCGTATATCTTTAGAGAACTGTCTATTCAACTTCTGACCATTTTAGAATTATCTTTTTTGTTGTAGAGTTGTATGGATTCTTATTCATTCTGGATACTAGGCCCTCATCAAATGCATGATTTGCAAATATTTTCTCCCATTCTGTTTATTGCCTTTTCACATTCTTGATAATATTCTTTGATGCACAAAAATTTTTAATTTTAATGAAGCTGAACTTATTTTTTCTTTTGCTCATGATTTTGGTGACTTTTCTAAGTATCTGTTGCCAAATCCAAGGTCATGATGATTTACCCCTGTTTTCTTCTAAGAGTTTCATGGCCTTAGCTCTTATATTTATGTTGCTGATCCATTTTGAATTTTTCTTATATGGTGTTAGGTAGGGTTCCAACTTCATTTTTTGCTGGTGGCTATCCAGTTGTCCCAGTACCATGTGTTTAAGAGACTATTCTTTCCCCATTAAATGGTCTTGAGCCTTTGTTGAAATCAATTGGCCGGGGATGTATAGGTTTATTTTTGGACTCTCAATTCTTTTCCTTTGGTCTACATGTCTATCCTTATGCCAGTACCACACTGTTTGGATTACTTTAACTTTATAATAAGTTCTGAAATTGGGAAGTATGAGTCTTCCAACCTTTTTTTTCCAGGATTGTTTGGCTATTCAGGCCCCTTGCAATTCCATACGAATTTGATCAGCTCTTTCACTTCTTCAAAAAATGACCACTGGAATTTTGGTAAGGATTGCAGTGAATCTAAATTGCTTTTGGTAGTACTGTCATCTTGACAATATTATGACTTCTAATTCATGAACATGGGATGTCTTTCCATTTATTTAGGACTTCTTTAATTTCTTTCAGGAATGTTTTATAGTTTTTAGTGTATAAGTCTTTCACCTCCTTGGTTAAATATATTCCTAGGTAGTTTATTTATTATTATTAAAGATTTTATTTATTTTTTTGATAGAGACACAGCGAGAGAGGGAACACAAGCAGGGGGAGTGGGAGAGGGAGAAGCAGGCTTCCCGCAGAGCAGGGAGCCTGATGTGGGGTTCGATCCCAGGACCCTGGGATCATGACCTGAGCTGAAGACAGATGCTTAGCGACGGAGCCACCCAGGCGCCCCCTCCTAGGTAGTTTATTCTTTTGGATGTTATTATAAATGGAATTGTTTTCTCAATTTCTTTTTTAGATTGTTCATTGCTGGTATACAGAAACACAACTGATTTTGTGTTTATATATCCTGCAACTTTGGTGAATTTATTTATTAGCTCTGGTCGTTTTTTGTGGATTCTTTGGGATTTTCTAACATGTTGGATCACATCATCTGTGAATAGAAATAATTTTACTTCTTCCTTTCCAATTTGGAGGCCTTTTATTTCTTTTTCTTGCCTAACTTCTTTGGCTGGAACGTCCAGTACAGTGTTCAATAGGAGTGGTGAAAGTGGGCTGACTTGTCTTGTTTCTGATCTTAAGGGAAAGCTTGCAGTCTTTCACTCCTGAACAGGGTGTTAACTGTGGATTTTTCATAAATGCCTTTTATCATATTGAGGAAGCTTCCTTTTATTCCTAGCCTTCTGAGAGTTTTTATCATGAAATAGTGTTGGATTTTATCAAATGCTTTTTCTGCATCAACAGAGATGATCTTTCACATCTTTTAAAGATAAAATACTTTAGTGCTAATGCCAGTGGTATATTTTAATGGAGAAGAGAACATAGAAAAGTTCAGGTTGGGACACTGATTATCTGAGATAAAGGCACAGAAAGCCCAGGGCTTAAAGGCTCCAAGGAAAGCAGATGGAGAATATTAGGGATTAGAGAGTGGAGAGTTCTAGGCCCAGTACAATATTTTACCAAGCTGAATGGGATGAAGGTGGGAGGAGAATGCCTGCTTCTTGAAAAGCATATAAATTCTATATGGTGTGCAACAAATATTAACTTACAGTGATGATACATGCAATAGAGGAAATATAATAGAAGAGGCTGACACTTCCACAAGTACCTGTAAGGTATGAGTACTGCTTGAAGACATCAGAAGGTGTAGGTCCTGTCAGCAGAAAAACATCAATGATTCCACTCTCTGACATCCAGTGCACATCAGTTCGACATCTGAACTTTTGTTTAGCTGCAACAGGGCCCATCTGGGTCAGTGTGTACTAGAAAAAAGAATGGAATGAAGTTCTGAAAAATTTCCCTCTAACCTACAGTGTATAAGTATCATCCATATGTAACTAACAGGTACATATTATTAACTTTCACTGATTATACTGCAAAGACTTTGGGGGCAGAGAATTGTCACTACAGTGCCCAGAGCTATGACTACATTGGTTTTCTTTCTTACAAACATATGACATGCAGCCATGATCCATAAGCTCACCTTTACTGCAGGCTCTGTATTGATCTCCACCAGTGTTTCGGAGGCATTGAGCCAAAAAATGCCTAGAGTCCTGCCGAGTTTATGGGCCAGGAGATAAGGCACTGAACCATAAATGCCCATTTTGTCATGTATTTTATATCCATAGACATCCAGGTTATAAAGACGGTAAGCATCGCCATCACTGAGACACACAAAGATGGACTATCAGTTACAATCGCAAATATATTATTAATGAATAGTATAGCTCCATTCTCCCCTGCAAACACTTGAGTCCTATGCATCTTTCAAGGCTCAACTCTCACCACTTCCCTAATCCAGCCACAGTTAATACGATTCTCCTCCTTTGATTCCTTTGGCATCCCCTCCTGTGACAACTGGCATGCATGGTCTCATATCTTAGATATCTTTTCTGAGGATCTCTTGTGAGGTGGACTGTTTCCTGTGAATTCTCCACAATAACAAGTGCACAGTAGATATAATTGGCAAAGTTTGTATTTCTCTGCTGCTAAAACAAAATCACCGATAGCGTCCTAACGCTTCCACAGTGCTGAGTAGGGAAAGATGGGGAACTGAATTGGGGTGGGAAGCCCAAAGCTTGGCTTGGTGTGTGAGCAGCAGTTTCTGATTCACTTGTTACTACACCCACCTGTTGACCTGTTGTGTAAACAGCATCTGAACCCAGCAAATTGATCAGACTCTGTTTCTCTTTGGTTTGGCTTCCTCTTAGTCTGATGCCTCTGGCATTTACTTGTCAATAGTGTTAGTTTGAAATGATGTCTCTGAAAGAATCAAAGGTGACACAAGATGCCACACTTTTCCATTCTCTGGATCACTGTCCTTTTTTGGTAAAAGCCTTTTTCTAGGTCAGTGATTTTCACAGTGTATTCTCCCAGGTTCCACAGAGAGGCCTTGAGGGGTGAAAGCAAAAGCCGGGGAGGTGGTGTGATGAAGCTCTTTCCCCTACTTCAACCATAATAGTTCCATATTTTTACTTCCTCTGTAGATTTTAGGTTCAGCATTACAGTTTTATAATTCTCAACTTTTTGCCAAAAAAAAAAAGATAAAAATTGAAAACCACTGCTCTTAAAGTTCTTAAAGATCTACAAGCATTATCAAGGAGGAAGAGCCTAGGCACATACTGGCCCAGGCTCGGAAAGCTCACATATTTTCCCTTCAAAGTTTTCCAGTCCAGAAACCAGAGCATCCTATAAGAATTTTTGTTTTCACTTTACCTCGTATTTTTAAGTTGGTGTGATTCTGCATGTTGCGGGATCCCGTAGAGATGCTCAAATCCATGCAAGGAGAAATCCAAACCAATGGAGGCAGGACCTGAAGGGACGAGGGTACTGAGTTTTGCTTCTCCGTGGGACAATCAATTAAGGAGACTTACTTACCTATGAGTGTAGCATGATGACTAGACTGGGGATCTAGAGACCTGAACTTGCCCTGATCAGTCAGTAAATTACGTGTGTGCCTTTTCTGTAAGATGTTACATTCAGGTACTGTGGGGATACAAACATGCTCAAGGCAAAGTTCTGGTCACTTATTAGTATTTCCTTAGCTATGTGCTAAAGCTCTCTGTGTCATTTATGGTAAATCTCCTTTTCTATCTGTAAAATATGCCTATGAAGCTTTAGATTTTTTTTTCTAATCTAAATTTTCCTAAAATGTATCACATGCTTCTTTACATTAGGAAACAAAGGATATTGAGCAATTTTAATCTTCACTAGATAGAAGACTGGGTGTCTTCTTATGATCATTTATTCTTACTGCATTCAGGAACTGTAATGTCAAAAGGGCATCAGAAAGATCTTTCCTGGCTCCTCAAAATACCCCTTCCCTGTGATTGTAGATATGTAAGTTTTTTAAAACTAGAGACAAAGTCCTTTAACCATTATTTTAGATATGGGAAAAATGCAAGTAACTAGGAGAAATAACAGACTTAAATTCACTCTTAGGTAAAAGTATTTGACACGAAATGGTCCTTATTTAAAGGAATTTATGGAAAGGGGGTGCTGTAGAGGTCAAATAGATTATGATGTTACAGAAAGGAAAGCCTGATGGCCCCCCTACTTATACATTTTGGACATGTTGTCAGTCCTGATCATTATGCTAGGCTATAGATATAGATGCTAGAACAGAAATTCTCAAGGTGTTAGGGAAGACCTGTTATCCTACTGGTAGGAGGGAGGAGGAAAGTATTTTTTCCAACTCTATAAGCCCCAAGTATCTGAACTGTATATCCTAAGAGACAAACTCCACCCCCGACACCCACTATCACTAAGTCTAGTGAGAAATGTCACAGATGGGCATGTGATACTCATGTGAATGATGGGGAGGCCTGGAAAAGGTTGAGAACCAATGGCTTGCAATGTTGGAGCTAATGAGCTCTAGAACTTCATTTCTCATCACTTGACTCTCATAAGAATAGAATGTGGAATTTGTGGCTGTCTGATATACTGAGCAGTACCAGCAGTGTGCTGACCTAGGCCCCTAACATGAGACCATCAACTCCATGAGGACTGTACTTCTCTTACATACCCCACAAAAGGTACACATTCACTATTTCTCTGTTGCAGTGCATTAGTGAAGAATAGAAGACCCAAATCTGAGATTTCTGTTCCCCTTACAGAAATCACTTGTTTGGGTGGAAAGTTCAAGAGATTTTAGGTAGCAATATTTAGTCATTTTGGCAGGTTCTCCTTTAATACTACACCAATTTCAATTTTACCATTAACTTTGACATCCACAAATTTTCCGAATTTCTCCTCCCACAGGCCCAGATCCTCTTGGTCTTCCTGATGGCACAAAAAAAGGAGCAAATTGAGTTTATACACTGCAACAAATGTGGTTACCACAATAGCATATTTTATTTGGATTGTTAAAAAATCAGACCAAGAAAGTATCTTTTAAAAGACCTGTGATGTCAGTATATGTAACAAATTTGATGTGTTTTATATAAACGCTAGTAGTCATCCTCCTTATGAACTGCAGCTGACATGAATATAATTTTTTATTGTGGTAGAATAGACATAAAATTTACAATTTTAACTATTTTCCACTTTAACGATTTTATTTTTTTAATTTAAGTAATCTCTATACCCAACGTGGGGCCTGAACTCATGACCCTGAGATGAGGAGTCACATACTCTACTGAGCCAGCCAGGGGCCCCACCACCATTTTTTTTTCATTTTTACCATGTTAAAGTGACATTAAGTACATTCACATTGTTGTGCAACTATCATCCATCCCCAGAACTTTTATATCTTCCCAAACTGAATCTCCATACCCATTAAACAATAATTCCCCATACCGTCCTTCCCCAGCTTGTGACAACAACCGTTCTACTTCCTGTATGAATCTGACTACTGCAAATACCGCATATAACTAGAATCATGTAGTACCTGTCCTTTTGTAACTGGCTTATTTCACCTAGTATAATATCTTCAAGATTCATCCATTTTGTAGCATGTGTCAGAATTTCCTTCCTTTTTAAGGTTGAATGATAGTCCACTGTATGTATATACCACATTTTATGTGTGCATTCATTTGTCAGTGACTCTTGGGTTCTGGACTGCTTTCAGGTTTTGGCTACTGTGAATGATGCTGCTAAGAACACAAGCATACAAATATTTGTTTGAGTTCCTGCTTTCCCTTTCGGATATATATCCCTAAGTGAAATTGCTGGACCATATTGTAATTCTATGTTGAATTTTCTGAGGAACTGCCTCATTATTTGATATAAGTATCTTTACATAGTCCAAAATGATGTGAAAAAACTGAAAAATGCAGTCTTCACAGAAGTCAGATTTTTAAAAAATTTTTTTTTCTTGTAAACATGTAAGGCAAAATAATTAGAATCAAATAATTTGGGTCAAAAAGCAAACATTGTGGATGAGATGAGTACTTCACCCTGCTTCAGTTAGCCAAACTACATGAGAAGTCAAGACTGCTCAGGTTCACAATCTTTTGATGTAGAGCTAATGAATTTTCTTGGCTTTACAAGTTTTCATTCTTCCTCTCTGGTAGAATGAAAAGGTTTTCTAGAAATTATGTGTGTGTGTGTGTGTGTGTGTGTGTGTGTGAGTGAAATGCATGTTTCTTTTAAAAAATGAGCCCCATGCCCATTTCTAGGTGGTTTCTTCATAATTATAAGCTTCTGTAAAGTGAGCCTCTATGTGCATGTGTGTTTAAATCGCAACTGCATTCTCAATGTAGGGACTATTATCCTTGGGTCTGTGGATGGGCTTTAGAGTATGTGAACTCCCTCAAACAGTATGGAAATTTTGTTGTACAAAGATGGTTCATAGCTTTCATCAGATTCTTGCAAGGACATCTATGACACAAAACCACTATCTAAGCTATCTAAATCTTTTTTTTTTTTTTTTTAAGATCTTATTTATTTATTTGACAGAGAGAGACACAGCGAGAGAGGGAACACAAGCAGGGGGAGTGGGAGAGGGAGAAGCAGGCTTCCCGCTGAGCAGGGAACCCAATGCGGGGCTCGATCCCAGGACCCTGGGATCATGACCTGAGCCGAAGGCAGACGCCTAAAAACTGAGCCACCCAGGTGCCCCCTCTCTAAGCTATCTAATTAGAGGTCTCCCCAAAGCTGATTGGACATGTTGTCACAAAACTGTGTGAAGCTATGTCTTAGTTGTCCTTCTCGATTTGAAAATGGAAGAAATATTCTCATATTCATCAGCATGGGTCAGTTTTCAAGAGGAAGAAGCATGTCCTTACTGCACTGGAAATATTTTTCACCATTCCTGGTGGCCATACCTACTGTCAGGGATCCTTCAAAGATGCATGTGGCTTTGGATGAAGAGAAGATTTCTGGAATGCCCATTTTCCATAATTCAGCTAAAATAATCTTTTAAAAACAGACAGCAGACCACATATCTCTGCTGCTTACAACCTTTCCAGGGCTTTCCTTTGCCCTTAAAGTCCAAAAAGGTTAACAAGACATGGAAGAATGCCAGCTCCATGGTAATGAGGGACTTTGATTTATTCAACGATACATCACCATTTCCTCGAACAGTGCCTGGCATATAGGAAATACTCAACAAATGTTTGTTGAATGCAAGAATTATTACAAGACTTTCCACAGAATTGCCCTGCCTATCTCTCTGGTCTTGTTATACAGCACCTTTACCTTTGTTTTCCTTTATCCTACTAAATATATTTTTAAAATGTCCTCAAATGTGCTCCTTCCTACCTCAAGGTCTTTGAATATGAAATTCCCTCTATCGGAATATTCTTTTCCCACCTTTTGACTAGCTAATGTATCCCCATGCATCAGTTTCTGTTGGAAAATCATTTCCTTCAGGAGGTCTATCTTGACCCTCATCTTGGTCAAGTTCCTTGTTATATTCTCCTATGGCACTCTTTTTAACACTCCTCATGCTTGTACTTGGTCAGTGTTCATCTTTCCTATTAGATTCTAAGATTCATGAGGATAGGCTGGGATTTGTTTTACTCGCTGCCGATTCTCCTTGCCTAGCATAATTTTTTGAGCTGGCACAAAAGCAGGCACTCAGGAATTGCCTGTTTTATGAATGAATGAATGAATGAATGAATACATGAATAGACAAATGAATGAAAGAATGAGATGACAAGGTGAGCAAAAGAGATAGGTAGTCCCATTTATATGCAGTAGAGTATTTATCAAGTACCCATCTGTGAGAGGAAGGGAAGAACAGAACCATTATATTCCACATCATGGTAATGATGGTAAAAGAGATTTAAAAAAGCTAAATTGCTCAATCTAGATTACCTGAGAAGCATCAACTGATGTGTCCTCCTTATTTTCTTTGGCAGCTCTGTTTTAATATAAATAAAATTGTTTCACTCATGGGAAGACTGACAGAATTTTGTTCAATGATGAAGATTTTAATTTCCAAATTTTGAGACCCCATAAATTATATCTTTTAACTTACTAAAAATAATGTCATTACAAAAATAAGTTTATGAAATTGAACATTTATGATGAACATTAATCCAACAGCTTGATTTATTAAAATGTAAATATATTTGAATTTTCTTATTTACCCTTAAAAAATTTTATCAGTTTTTTTTATTATACATGTAATACATAATCCATCAATGAAACAAACGTAAGCAAGCAAGGTAGAACACAGCTGCCCTCACCCAATTTTACCTTAGTACAGAGCAACATAATGCACTGTCTTCCAAAATGATTGTGACAACTTATTCTATCATATACAGTTGGATTTGAGGGCTCATTTCTCCCCATTCTTAACAATACTGGATGTTATACACTTCTAAAATCTTTGCCAATCTAAAATTTTAGAAAAGACTTTCCTGCCCCTTGACAGTGTTCTGATGGAGTCTCAAAGTTTTTACTTTAGCTGCCCTATCAACGCATTGATTAGCATGGATTTTGTAAAATAGGATTTTAAAAACTGGAATGTAATTTGTTAAAGAGAAAAAAACTCATTTTCTTGAACAAAAAATTTTTTTAGAAAAGACAATACATTTCAATTTGAATTTCTTTCATTAAAGCTGTAAACTACCTTTTTATACATTAAATGGTATTTCTATTTCTTCTGTGAATTGTCTATTCTCATTATACATTAATTTTTTAGTGTAAAATAAAGTATGAATATGGAAGGGTATAATGTAAGTTCAGAGGTTAAAGAATAATATAAAGTGAACTGTGAACCCACATAAACCACAGAGATGACTTGTTCCTTGGGAGTTCCTGTGTGCCTCTCTTCAAATGTATCATCTACCTCCTCCCCTGACCCTTCAGAGGTAACCACTTTACTCAATTTTGTGTGAAACCATTCCCTTGCTGTTCTATATAGCACTCCCACAAGTGTATGAGTACTCAAACATATATTTGGTTTTGCCTTTAAAATTCTTCTTATACAAATAGACATGTACTGTAACATACTTTTTTCACTTTTTATTTTTTTATTTTTTGGGGGGAATCTTGTTTTAATTTGCAATTTCCTAATGATATATGATGTTGAACATCTTTTCATGTGCTTACTTGCCATCTGTGTATCTTTTTTGGTAAGGTGTCTGTTCAGGTCTTTGGCACACTTTAAAGTTCGGTGTTCATTTTCTTATTGTTGAATTTTAAGAGTTCTTTGTATATTTTGGGTAGCAGTCCTTTATCTGATGCATCTTTTGCAAATATTTCTTCCAAGTCTGTGGCTTGTCTTCTCATTTTCTTGACATTGTTTTCCACAAAGCATTAGTTTTTAATTTTAATGAAGCCCAATTTATCAGTTATTTCTTTCATGGATCATGCCTTTGGTGGTATATTAAAAAATCATCACCATACCCAAGGTCATCTAGATTTTCTTCTATGTTATCTTCTAGGAGTTTTATAGTTGTGTATTTTACATTTACATCTATGATCCCTTTTGAGTTCATTTTTGTGAAGGGTATAAAGTCTATGCCTAGATTCATTTTTGAAATATATTTTTTATTCAGGTAAAATTTACAGTGTCTTATTAGTTTCAGGTGTGCAGTGTAATATTTCAACACTTCTATACATTACTCAGTGCTCATCATGGTAAGTGTGCTCCTAATCCCCTTCACCTATTTTACCCATCCCCATTCCGACCTCTCTTCTGGCAACCACGAGCTTACTCTCTATATTTAAGAGTCTGGGTTTTTTTGTTTGTTTTTTCTTTTAATTTGTTCATTTGTTTTGTTTCTTATATTCCACATATGAGCAAAATTATTAGGTATTTGTCTTTCTCACACTGACTTATTTCACTTAGCATTATACCTTCTAGATCCATCCATATTGCTGCAAATGGCAAGATTTCATTCTTTTTTTACAGCTGAGTAATATTCCAGTGTGTGTGTGTGTGTGTGTGTGTACATACATACACATACCACACACCACACACATATATACCACATCTTCTTTATCCATTCATCTATGGATGGACACTTGGGTTGCTTTCATATCTTGGCTATTGTAAATAATGCTGCAGTAAACATAGGTGTGCACATATATTTTGAAATAGTATTTTGTTTTCTTTAGGTAAATACCTGTAGCCAACACTACTTATTGAAGATACTGTCTTTTCAGGAACTGTATGCTCCTGTTTCCTTTGTTGAAGATTACCTGTATATGCATGGATTTACTTCTGGACTCTATTCTGTTCCACTGATCTATGTTTTTGTTTTTGTGCCAATACCATACTGTTTTGATTACTATAGCTTTGTAGTATACTTTGAAATCAAGGGACTTTGTTCTTTCTCAAGATTGCTTTGGCCATTTGGAGTCTTTTGTGGTTCTATACATATTTTAAGATTATTCTATTTCTGAGAAAAATTTCATTGGTATCTTGATAGCGATTGCATTCAATCTATAGACTACTTTGGGTAGTATGGATATTTTAACAATATTAATTCTTCCAATTCATGAGCACAGTGTATCTTTCCATTTATCTGTGCTGTCTTCAGTTTCTTTCGTCATTGTCTTACAGATTTTAGAGTTCAGGTCTTTCATCTCCTTGGTTACACTTATTCCTAGGTATTTTATTATTTTTGATGCAATTGTAAATGGGATTGTTTTTTTTTTAAGATTTTATTTATTTATTTGACAGAGAGAGACACAGTGAGAGAGGGAACACAAGCAGGGGGAGAGGGAGAGGGAAAAGCAGACTCCCCACGGAGCAGGGAGCCCGATGCGGGGCTCAATCCCAGGACCCTGGGATCATGACCTGAGCCGAAGGCAGATGCTTAACTGTCTGAGCCACCCAGGTGCTCCAATGGGATTGTTTTCTTAATTACTCTTTCTGATAGTTCATTATTAGTATATAGAAATGCAACAAATTTCCGCATATTAATTTTGCATCCTGCAACTTTAGTTGATTTATTAATTAATTCTAGTAGTTTTTTTGGTGGAACCTGGCATTTTCTATATACAGTATCAGGTAGTCTGCAAATAGTCACAGTCTTACTTCTTTTCCTATTTGGATGACTTTTTTTTTTTTTTTGGTCTTATTGCTGTGGCTAGGACTTCCAGTACTGTTGAATAAAAGTGGGAAGAGTTGGCATCCTTGTCTTGTTCCTGTTCTAAGAGAAAAAGCTTTTAGCTTTTCACTCTTGAGTATGATCTTAGCTATGGGTTGCCATATATGGCATTTATTGTGTTGTAGTATGCTCCTTTTGTACCAAGTTTGTTGTAAGTTTTTATAATGAATGGATGTTGAATTTTATTGAATTCCTTTTCTGCATCTATTGAGATGATCATATGATTTTTCTTATTTTTGTTAATGCAGTGTATCATGTATCATATTGATTAATTTGTGGATACTGAACTATCCTTTCATCCCTGGAATAAGTCCCATTTGATCATAACGTTTGATTCTTTTAAAGCATTGTTGAATTTGGCTGGCTAATATGTTGTATAGGATTTTTATAACAATGTTCATCATGAATATTAGCCTGTAATTTTCTTTTTTAATGATAGGTAATGCTGGCCTTATAGAATGTGTTTGGAAGCATTCATTCCTCTTCAATTTTTGTAATACTTTGTGAAGAATAGGTATTAACTTTTCTTTAAATGTTTTGTAGAATTTGCTTGTGAAGTCATTTAGTTCTGGACTTTTGTTTGCTGGAAGTTTTTGGATTACTGACTCAATTTCATTACTAGTAATTAGTTCAAATTTTCTATTTCTTCTTGGTGTAGTCTTGGAAGACTGTATATTTTAGGAATTTATGCATTTCTTCTAGATTCTATTTGCTGGCATGTAATTGTTTATTGGGGTCTCTTATAACCCTTTGTATTTCTGTTGTATCAATTGTAACTTCTTCTCTTTAACTTGATTTTGTTTATTTGTGCCCTCTCTTTTTATTGATGAGTCTGGATAAAGATTTATCAATTTTATTTATCTTTTCAAAGAACCAGCTCTTCATTTCACTCATCTTTTCTATTGTTTTAAAATCTATTTCATTTATTTCCACTCTGATCTTTATTATTTCCTTCCTTCTATGAATTTAGGGCTTTGTTTTTCTTAGTTCCTGTAGGTATAAGATCACAATGTTCATTTGAGATTTTTGTTTCTTGAGGTAGGCCCCTTTTGCGATAAATTTCCCTGTTAAAACTACTTTTGTTGCAACCCACAGATTTTGGACTATGGTGTTTCCACTTCCATTTGTTTCTAGGTATTTTTTTACTTCCTCTTTATTTAGATATTAGTTGTTTAGTAGTATGTTGTTTAGCCTCCATGTTTGTGGGTTTTTTCCCCAGTTTTCTTCCTGTACTTGATTTCTAGTTTCTTAACATTGTAGTTGAAAAATATGCTTGATAATGATTTCAACATTCTTAAATTTATTGACACTTTTGTGGCTTAGTAAGTGGTCTAATCTGGAGAATGTTCCATGTGCCCTTGAAAAGAATGTATATTCTGTTTTTGCATGGAATGTCTGTACGTGCATGTATGTGTGTATAAAGTTCATCTGGTCTAATGTGTCATTTCTTGTTTGGATCTTTCCCTTTATCATTATTGTGTGATGGCCTTCTCCCTTGTTACAGTCTTTGTTTTAAAGTCTGTTTGGCCACTTAAGTTCAAGCATATTCTAAATTCACTACATTTTTACTCCTCCCACACCATGTTCTATGTTTTTGAAATCATATTTTACATCTTACTATTTTGTGTATCCCTTGACTAATTATTCTAGGTCTAGATGGTTTTATTACTTTTGTCTTTTAACCTTGTACAAGCTACGCAGGTGGCTGAACCACTACCTTTATTATATGTTTATCTTTACCAATGAGATTTTTTCTTTTATAATTTTCTTATTTCTAGTTATGGACTTTTCTTTTCCATTTAAGGAAGTCCCTTTAACATTTCTTGGAAGGCTGGTTTCATGTTGATGAACTCCTTTAGCTTTTGCTTATTTGGGAAACCCCTTATTTCTCCTTCAATTCTGAGGAATAACCTTGCCAAGTATTCTTAGTTGCAAGTTTTTCTCCTATCAGCACTTTGAATACAGAATATAAAGGTTACTCCCTTCTGGCCTATCAAGTTTAGGGGTTTCCCTTGTATGTAACTAGTTTTTCTCTTGCTGCTTTTAAGATTCCCTCATCTTTAACTATTGATACTTCCATTGTAATGTGTCTTGGGGTGGGTCTCTTTGGGTTCATCTTATTTGGGTCTCTCTGTGCTTTCTGGACTTGGATGTCTATTTCTTTCACCAGATTAGAGAAGTTTTTTGCTGTTATTTCTTTTTTTAAAAAATTATTTGAGAGAAAGAGAGAACTAGTGGGGAGAGGGGCAGAGGGAGAGGAAGAAGCAGACTTCCTGCTGAGCACAGAGCCCAACACAGGGCTCGACCCCAGCACCCTGAGATCATGAACCGAGCTGAAGTCAGATGCTTAACCAATTGAGCCACCCAAGTACCCCCATTATTTCTTTAAATAGGGTTCCTGTCCCTTTTTCTCTCTTCTCCTTCTGGGACCCCCTAAAATGTGAATGTTAGTATGCTTGATGTCCTAGTGGTCCCTTAAACTGTCCTCATTTTAAAAAAAAAATTCTTTTTTCTTTTTGCTGCTCTGATTGGGTGATTTACAATACCCTGTCTTCAGATTGCTGATCTGTTCTTCTGCATCATTTAATCTGCTGTTGATTCCCTCTTGTGTATTTTTCACTTCCGTTATTGTAACCTTCAGTTGATGGGTTCTTTTTGTATTTTCTACTTCCATGTTGAAGTTTTCACTGTGTTCATGTTCATCCATTCATCTCCTGAGTTTGGTGAGCATCTTTATAACCATTAAATTCTTTATCTGGTAGATAGCTTATCTCTGTTTCTTTAGTTTTATTTCTTAAGTTTTGCCTTGTTCTTTCATTTGGACCATATTCTTCTGTCTCCTAATTACCTGAGTCTCTGTTTCTATGTATTAGGTAGATCAGTTACATCTGATCTTGAAGGAGTGGCTTTATGCAGAAGGTGTCCTGTGGGTCCAGTAGTGTAAACCCCCAGCCACCCCAGTCAGGTACCCCAAGAGTGTTCCCTATGTGGGCGGCATGCACCTTCCTGTAGTGACTGGGTTGCAGTTGGTGCAGACTCACAGGTGTGTAGGGCTGTCCTCCAGCATGACCGTCTGTGAGGTCTGACTGTGACTGCTACGGTCATGCTGGTTAGCGGGGCTAGCCCCTGGCCCATCTGACTGAAAGGCCTGGTTGTGACTGCTGTAGATATGCTGTTGTGTGGGGTTGGTCCCTGGCATGGCTGGCTGTGAGGCCTGGCTATGACAGCTGTGGGTGCACTGGTGGGTGGGGCATATCTCCTTCTTGGCTTGCTGAGGGGTCCAGCTGTGACTGCTGTAGGTGTTCTAGTTTGTAGGGCTGGCCCCCAGGGTGGAGGTGCTTAGGAGCAGTTCTAAGGTGAGCAGTTCTGCTCACCTTAGGAGCAGTTCTGGTCTTAGCTGAGGCTGCCCGCTACAAATGCTGGGGTTGAAGGCTGCTTAGGAGAACCTCTGATGCTAGCCAAAGGCACCCACCAGGAATGCCAGCGTGCAGAGACACCTGGAAGGGGGTCCAGGCTGGGAGATGGCTTGGGTGGAGCAAGTCTGCAGGGGAACACTGGACAGCATGAGTGGCACTAGCACAGTAGATACGGAGTACCGGAAATGACACCCACCAACGCTGGGCCAGCTAGGTAGAAGAATGGTACCCACCAGTGCATCTGTCCCTGGCGGACATTCCAACAGATTCCTGCCATTCTGGCCCATGCCCTAAAATTAGTCAATGGATCTCCTTCCCATGTCACCCAGGCATTTTTCAAGTGGTTGCCTCTGTGCTGGGACTCAAAGCCAAGTGTGATTGTGCACATGCCATTTAAGAGCAGAGTCTCAGTTTTCTCCTGCCCTCTGACTCTCTTGGACATAAGAACTGTTGGTTTTCATAGGCAGACATTATGGGAGCTCATCTTCCTGGTGGAGGTTCCTGGGACATGGAGCCTGATGTGGGGCTCAGACCCCTTGTTTCTAAGGGCAGGCCTTTACAGTTGTGATAGCCTTCCCAGTTGTGGGTTGCTGCACTGGGGGTGTGGGACCTGACTAAACCATGTTTCTGCTCCTCCAACCCATCTTGATGTGGTTTTTTCTTTATATCCTTAGTTGTATATGATCTGTTCTGCTAGTCTCTAGTTCCTTCTCAGAGACAGTGTTCTTTTTTTTTTTTTTTTTTAAGTAGGTTCCACACCCAGTGTGGAGCCCAACGTGGGGCTTGCCCTCACAATTCTGAGACCAGGACCTGAGCTGAAATCGAGAGTCAGACACTAAATCTACTGAGCCACCCGGGCGCTCCTCAGAGATAGTTTTCTATATGTAGTTGTAGATTTTGATGTGTGTATGGGAGGAGGTGAGCTCAAGATCTTCTTACACCACCATCTTGATTTTGCCTCTTTTATGTTTTTTTATGTGTAATTTTTTCCATCTGGGATTCATTTTTTGCTAATGTTGTGAGGTTTGGAGCTAACTTAAATTTTTTTCCAGGTGGATAATCTGATTTTCCTAACACAAATGTAAATGCTGGAAATATGAACTAGTACACAACCTCTATGGAAGGTAATTTGGCAGCATCAGTCAGAATTACAAATTCTGTTTGATCAGCAATTGTACTTCTATGACTCTAGTCTATGGATGGACTTGCATGTATGCAAAATGACACATATACAAAGTTATCCACGAAGTCAGTAGTTGTAAAACAAGATTAGAAACAATTTTAAAGTCCATCAAGAGGGAATTTACTAAATGAATCATGGTGTAACCATACAATAGAAACTATATAGCTGCTTTAAAGAAATTAGGAACTACCACATTGGTAAAGGAAAAACAGCAAAGTGCAGAATAATGTATAAAGGTGGTATCATATGTGTCAAGAAAGGAAAAAGCAAAGCACATATGTATCTTTATTGTATAAACATAAATTATATCTGGAAGGATACCTAAAAAACTGGAAATAGTGATTACTATCAAGGATGGAATGGGTAGCTCAAGGATAAATGGTGAGGGAGACTTTTCAATATATACCCCTTTGTAGCATATGCTTATCTAAAAAATAAATGAAAATATTAAGGCCCAACTTAGATATCACCTTTAAAACAAAAATATGGGAGTTTATTAAAAGAAAAAAAATTTTAAATACAAATAACCCAGGTACTGGGTACACAGGTATTTGTTATGCTATCCGTATTTTTTTTTTTTCACTTTTTATTTCATTATAATGGTAAAATGCTCATAGTAAAAATCTCCAACTGTTCAGAGGGTAAAAAGCAAAAATCAAAAGCCCCTTCTACCCAAAACAACCCTGCAGTTTTACTCCACAGAGGTATATCAGTATTTTTCAATTAAAAAAAATTGAATATTCATAAAGTAGTAAGTGGCAGAATTACAGGTATTTAAATTTTTCTTTTCAATATTTTCTATTTTTCCTACAATGAACAGATATTATTCTCTGTAATAAGAAAATAAGGCTTTTATATATAAAAATAAAGTGAGTTGAAATCCAGAAAAAAATCACTATGTGGGAATAATGAATGTTGAATGTTTTCTACAGATTACATAAAACGTTCATTATTAGGCTAAAAGTAGAACTACAGACTGGAGGATTTAAAAACAATAGTGGTAAAAACGGAAGAAGAATCTCCCCCTATTACATAACCTCCCAGTTCACGTCACCCCCACACAAACAGCTTTGATCAAGTGATTGTTTCCTGAAAATTCTTGGACAACTATTCAAGTGTCAGATAACTCAACTTATTGTAAGGGGATAAAGTGAAATTCTGAAGACATCAGTTCACATTAACATTTATTAAGTCTCAACAGTGTTTTTTAGGGGTGTAGAGCGTAGAGAATGCCATCAGTTAAACACACAGGATATGTTAAGAGTATCAATCTGCAAAAGTCTGGGAATCATTCTTGTCATCAAGCCTGCATTTACTTGCACAGGTGAAAAGATGAAATTTCTCAGAACAATATCCCAGCAAATAAGGCGAACCAATTTTCCATGGTGATATATCAACTATTTAGGCAATTAGTAATCATAATCAGGTTTTCTAAAGTTCTTTGTATGTCAAGTAATGTGCAAAAATACCTTTGCTTGAGAGGAATCTGCAGATGCTCGAAGTACAACTGGCCCAGGGAGTTTATGCTCATCACCACCTCTTCTTCAGACACCAAATCTATTTTGAAAGGGTTTGCTGTGATATTACACTTCAGATCTCCTTTTCCATCTGTCAATACCAGACTATCTGCATCCCCTGAACATGAAATCAGCCTAGAAAACAAAACAAGAAGAGAAAAACAGGTTACATGGCTCAATGTGATTCTCAATTCAAATTAATGTGTAAATGGGGTGCCTGGGTGGTTCAGTCAGTTAAGCGCCTGGCTCTTGATTTCAGCTCAGGGCATGATCTCAGGGTTGTGAGATGGGAGTGCTACACTGAGCTCCGTGCTGGGTGAGAAGTCTGCTTGAGATTCTCTCTCCTTCGCCCTCTGCCCCTCCTCACCCCCCACCCCGCCCTGCATGAGCTCTCTCACTCTCTAAAAAAAAAAAAAAAAGAATTTGTAAATCAATATTCATGTAACATAGCATAGATAAGGCAGTGGAAAGTGGTAATTGAGAGCATGGATTTTGGTGTCAGAAAGGCTGGACTGAACATCGCTCTATCATGCACTAGGTGCATAACTTTGGACAAATTAATCAGTCTATCCAGTTCTCAGTTTCCTCATCTGTAAAGCAGAATTAACAAAAGCAAGAACAAATAGAGCTTTCAGGGAGAATTAAATGAGATCACGCATGCAAAGCACTTTGCAGTGCCTGGCACATAATAAGCACTCAATAAATGTTAGCTATCATCATCATTACTTTGGTCTGGACAGTCTAGTAACACTTTGGTGCACTAAACACTTTTCTCTCTCATGCCAACCATACACTCAGAAACTAAGGAAACAACCTAGATTGGATTTTGACCCACTGAGTCCATAGTGAGACGGATTCTCTCCTGACTTCCATCAGTCCCTAATTTGACAGGTAGACTGTTAGAATATTCTGGATTCCCAGGAATATGTAAGCTCAGAGGCAGCACTTAAAATCCCTTAGAGGTCTAGATATTCCTTTCTCTGGTGCATAGTCATCCTGGTAAATGGTCACATGCCTCTTTAGGGAAGGTGAGGAGGGATATTTTATGTTCTTATTATATCCTTATCAAGTCCTTCTCCATGGATTCTAGGCCTCCCTCTCAAGCAGGATGCCTGGGTTCTGGAAACTGTCTGGAGTTGGGTGAGAGGTTGTATCTCACTGTTCATCAAACCTAAGTGGAGTTCTTTTGGTTTTTGCACTTTGGTGCATCTATTTCAGTCCAATGGACCCTTTGATATATTGTTCATTGCCCCAAGGGTTAAACCATTTTGGGTACCATACATACAGGGCTACACATTATGGAAACATGTTCACCATGTCTCTATCAACTAAATGCTTCTGCTTTCATTCTGCCACCTGGAGTCTCACCATCTTCACTGAAATCAGGGAGCCCATTTTTTCTTTAAAAAGATTTATTTGAGAGAGCGAGAGAGAACAGGAGCAGGGGGAAAGGAAATGGGAGGGGGTGGAGCAGAGGGAGAAGCAGACTCCCTGCTCAGCAGGGAGCCCGATGTGACACGGGGCTCTATCCCAGGACCCTGAGATCATGACCTGAGCCGAAGGTAGACACTTAACCACCCAGATGCCCCTCAGGGAGCCCATTTTGACGGCATCATTTCCCACCATTATGTCTACCTCACAAAAGACATTCACTCACTACAATGCTTTCCAAGTCTTCCCTTACCAATTTATTTCTCAGTGAAGGGAGTATCTTTTGGATCCTCTTGGAAAACAAAATTAGGGGCTAAATGAGCTGTTGTATATGATATATCCACTTCAACATCCTTACCTCCCTAAGTCTATGGGTCATTTCTTCTACTCTGTGCCAAGGAATTTCTAGTAGCTCAGCTTCATTCAGCAGAGTCCATAGCTGAATACAGATTATAATTAACCAACCAAGCAAATAATTAGATCCACTCCCCAGTGTCCAAGATAGCATATCAAATCTAGATTCTCTGGTACATGTACTCATGTCAATAAATTTAATGTGGTCCTAAAATTATGTTCCTTCCTTCAGTTTAGGAGCCCCTCAGAAATCATTTCCATCTATATCCCAGGTTTTTGCCAAGAGAAAATCTTGTAATTCCAAAGGTGTTGGGTTTGACTGTAATTAGCTCCTTAGGCATGTTGGGCTCTGATAGTGGTTTTAAAGGCAGCGAAGGGAGGTAGGGATGAGGCACAAGGAGCATGGAATCCCCCTGCACAATATATCTTAGGTGAGGTCAACACAGGGTGTCCAAGTAAGGTAGGATCAGCTTTGTTAGAGGAAAAAGAGCTGCTTCTGCTGAAACAGGAGGCTTGATGGTATCTGAGGTTTGGGTACTCAGTTATTCAAATCTTCCCAAATGTTGCTATTTAATTTTCCCTTTTCCCAGTTAGTGCCCTAAATTCACAGAACTGATGAGGCTGTGAATTAAACTCATGGTCTAATTCAGCGAACCACAGAATCGAACTCTCAGCTATAAGGACTTGGTAGCTACAACAGATATGAGAGACTTTTAGGACGGTCACAAAAACTTACTTGGTTTCTGACAAATGCCTGAGCTAAGAATTTAAAACTTGAGACTGTACTTTTCTTTCTTTAAGTTCTTCAGTTAATAGCAGGCCACTTCAGAGTTTTGAGTTCTTTATCACAATTGTGCTATGTCCCTATTGCTTGGTTTGCAAGGGCCATACTTTCAATATGCACTTTATTTCAGTTTACCATGGGTAGTAATTTAAGTAACTCTGCCATGGAATGCTGTGGTTTACTGCTAGTTGTATTAGTTTGCTAGGCCTGCCACAACAAATGCCACACTGGGTAGGTAGCTTAAACTACAGAAATTAATTCTCTCAAAATTCTAGAGGCTAGAAGTCCAAGATCAAAGCGTCAGTGGGTCTGGTTTCTTCTGAGACCTTTCTCCTTGGCTTTCAGATAGCCACCGTCTTGCTATGTCCTCACCCAGTCATCCCTCCATCTGTGTTACTTGTGTCCTAATAGCCTCTTCGTATGGGACACGAGTCCTACTGTATTAGAGTCTACTCTGACGACCCCGTTTTAACTGAGTTACCTCTTCAAAGGCCGTACCTCTAAATACAGTCACATTTAGAGGTATAGGAGGTTAGGGTTTCAACAAATGAGCTTGGGGGGGGCACAAGTCAGTCCATAACATTAATATCTCATCCTTTAATGATAACCAGGTCCTTACTATTTTCAAATCCAGCCAAATCTGCTAATCAATCTCATGTTCCCCTCCTGGAGGGTTTGTTGCCTATACTCACTTCTGATACTAAAATCTATTATCAACCAAGAGTCAACTGTAGATTAAAGAAAACACTCTGGTTATTTTAAGTAGAAAATAAGTGACTTAATATGCGGGAATTAGGAGTTTACAACATCATGGGAAGTGTTGAGGTAATAGAAATGACCCATAGAACAATACTGCATAACTGTATGGTCAATGGAACTTCTACTGCAGCTAGAATCAGGAAGTTGGAAAATCAGAAGTCACTATGGCAACTGCTGGGCTCCAAGATCATGCCATGTCAGCTCCAGAAATCAGGAAATGACTGCCCTCACTAATGTACCTCTAGAGACATTCTATGGCTGCCAAATACACACTAGCAAAATGGGAAGCTCAGTTCTGAAATCAAGATCCCTGTAAGTGCATATGATTGGGAGAACCTGAATTATACCAGAAACTAGCTGCATGGGAATATAGGAGATGGAAGAATGTAGTTTTTAGCTTTCTAGTTAGTGCAGTAGTCAAAGGCCCTCTAGAAAGAGGTTGGAACAGAAGAATATGCCGTATTTACTACACAAAGCTAGTTATCACCCTGACCCCAAAACATGGCAACAATAACACAGAAAAAGAAAAGTACAGATGAATTTTGCTTATGAACATAGTTGTAAAAATGTTAAAGGATGTACCAGTAAAGCGAATCCTCCAGGATAGTAAAAAATAATATACTGTGACTAAGTATACACCCACATCCATATACATACAAATATGCACGCAAATTGCAAAGTCTTACGAACAGTCTCTTTTTAATTCCTGTTTCGTAAGTTCTTGGCATATAGTAGCAGCTCAATGAACAGACAGACCTATTTTGAATTTACGATGATTCTACTATAATTCAAATAATTTCTCCTTATAATTTACAGACTTTATTAAATTTTTATGGAAAAATAATCTACATAAAACTATGACAATATAGTGAAAATTAAAGCATCTGGCATAATCTTCTATTCCCTTGGTGAAATAATATGAAAAAATGACAGGAATCAACAGGCAGAACCAAGTTGAAATATCACTGGAAGGTGCGCAGAGAGCTGAAGAAGATGCCGCAGGGATACGGAAAATGCTTTTTAATCCCCAAAGATTTTTTTTTTCACCCAGACACTGATTATTAATTTATCTCTGACTCTCAATCAAATTACATGTTAGACTTCTGAGACTACCTTTAATTAAAAGTGAGTCACCCTAACTGTATAAATTACGGCAAGCGAGTTTGGCTAGTGTATTAGATCTCTGGAGCCCTGCTGCTAATCTGAGGAAATTAAATAGCTCTGCTTCCACTAGTCCCCAAAGTCAGGCTGATGAATCCTTTTCTTTGTGAAAAAGGACAGCAGGGGTCAAAAGCTCTGCCTCTCCCCATTTATAAGTGCTGACAAATCACATGGTGGAGGAAGAGAAAACAGCATGGATAACATACAAAATGGATAAATTTATCCCCAAATAACTTGAAAACAAACTTGGCAAATGATGGTAGCTTTGAATAGAGAAAACAAGAGGCACATACAAAATCTGTTACTCAAGGTATGATAAAAGCCCATATTGAGGGTGTATCTAAGATCTCTTGTTCCTTGGCTTACCTTACAGTGCTGGGCTTGCTTGTGAGGACATCGGGAACTTCATACCTGGGTTTCAGGGGAGTTTCTTCATTGATTTTAAGCCTGAAAATATTTCCCTCTATACCATAAACTTCAGCCAGAAGAGAAACCTGGGAACAGACACGAGATTAGTTTCAGTAGGTTACTGCCCTACTGATGGTCGGTTCTACAGTCAAATTGCAATAATTAGAAACTATGTTTGGGGCGCCTGGGTGGCTCAGTCGGTTAAGCATCTGCCTTTGGCTCAGTTCATGATCCCAGGGGCCTCGCTGGGAGGGAGTCTGTTTCTCCCTCTGCCCCTCCCCCTGCTTGTGCTCCCTCTCCCTTTCTCTCTCTCAAATAAATAAAAATCTTTTTTTAAAAAAGAAGCTATGTTTGAATTATTATAGGCCAAATAAACTGGAGAACAATGGGAATTATGAAGGAAAAAGCTCCCCAAACTTTGTATGTGCTTGTTTCGCTATACCTGACAGTAGAGCAAGAAATACCTTCTATGTGTTCTATGGCTAGGCAAACATATAATTGTCCATACCAGGACCTTTAAGGATGAAAGAGGTCTCTATTAATAATTATACTGAATGATGGGCATAAACTGAAACTGCTTTTGGAAAGCTGGAACCTATGGCCCTGTATCTATGACAACCTGCAGATATCTTAAGAACTTGGTGTTAAAACTAGGGCAACTGGATTCCAGCTGAATGAAAGATGAAGGATAACAAGCCACAGAATGGAAAGGAATAAAGAGTAAAATAGTGGTCACTGGGGTTCCCTAGGATAGATGATTAAGCCTTGCTGTACTAAAATTAAGGCATTTCCTATATACCTGGGAATAAGGTCTGGGGAACTTTCTCAGGTTGGGATACTCTCAGCTTTTTTAAGAGGCTGGGGAATTTAGGTAAAATTCTGCCTACAGTGGGACATGGAAGCAACACAGAATTATAGAGAATATAGGATTTAAGAAATAAAACACAAGACAACAACAAACCTCAAGAGAACAGAAGTGGCTAGCTATAGGTTACAAGATGAGGCATCTAGATCAGAGAAATATGTATTTTTTAATATGCAGTCATCTTTATTATAATTCATATATACATTAAAATCAGACATGAATCTCTAATAAACATCTAGGATCTCATGGGCTTTTGTTTTCTGTTCATTTATGTAGTTTGAAAATCCAGTTTACCTGAGAATGGTGGAAAAGGCCAAGTAGTGTCTTAGTTTCATATGACAAGTTTTCTCCTTGTAGGTATGCTGGAGTCTTTGGGCATTTTATTTTTATTTTTTTAAAGATTTTACTTATTTATTTAACAGAGAGACACAGCGAGAGAGGGAACACAAGCAGGGGGAGTGGGGGAGGGAGAAAAAGGCTTCCCACTGAGCAGGGAGCCTGATGCAGGGCTTGATCCCAGGACCCTGGGATCATGACCTGATCCGAAGGCAGACGCTTAACGACTGAGCCACCCAGGCGCCCCTCTTTGGGCATTTTAATGAACCTGCCCATTTTTCAGTGCCTTCTGCAATTCCTTAGAGATTTCAATGGGCACCTGGCCTATGGAACATTTTATTACTCTACTGACTCTTAAGGTATGGTTCTGGGGCTACGCCTGAGAATTTGCTTTTCTAACCTATTGTTCCCTTTTGATTTACTCTAACAGGCAGTTTTAAAAAGGGGTCAAATGTGCCAAAGCTTCCAAACCTCCATGCTTCTTTTACAAAAATATCATTTACCTTATCATTCACTTTACCAACTCTCCCTTCCAAATAAAGGACCCCAAATATAAAGTATCACCTGCCAGTGTTAGAGGAGGCTCCTTTCCTCTCCCCAAATCACATTATTTAGGATTCTGAGTGATAGCAAGCCCCTCCAACACAGAGCTACAGTCTTTATCAAAAAAGCTTGATCAGAGAAATATTCTGACAGTTTTTAACTGTACTGCCGTACAGCAGTGACTGATAGCAAATCCTTCATTAAATCCTTCATGTGATGCCAAATTCTCGTTACACTTGGGTACATGTATTGTGACTGTAACAGCTGTTCAATGAAAGGCTAAGCTGGTCAGGCTGTGTGTCCACAACAGGTACAATGTGGTGCAAGTAAGATAGCAAGCAGGGAGACTATCACAGCACTAAAAAAAAAAAAAAAAAAATGATTTCGCTGGAACTCTGCCTCTTGAAAATATAGGAAAGTAGGGCACTTAACCAGTGACATGACACTTGAGAGTGACCAGGTGAAGAGTACAGTGGCTATGGCTGCTTTTACAGATAATTCTTAAGGTAGGGTTATAGTAGAGTAGTAGTGAGCACAGTGTAATTACTTTTTCTAGTTTTATTGAGATACAGACATATAATGTACAAACTTAAGGTGTACATTGTGTTGATTTGATACTTACATATTGCAAGATGATTACCACTATAGCATTAGCTAACAATTGCATTATATCACATAATTACCATTTCCTTTTTGTGATGAGAACATTTAAGATCTACTCTTTTAGCAACTTTCAAGTATAAAATACAGTATTATTAGTTATAATCACTATGCTGTACAGGAGAATCCCCAGAACTTATTTTATGTACAGCTGGAAGTTGATACTCTTTGACCAGCATCTTTCCCCCACCCCAATCATACTGTAATTACTCCTTTCATGTCTAACGTTCTTCTGTAAATTTAATTACTTCAAGTGTGTCATCAGAATTCTAAGATTTAAAAATGTGCTCAAATACAAATAAAGCTGAAATTCTGTCAGATTATGTTTTCTCGGAAGTGAGACCTATATTTCCATTGCTCTCTCAAATTCAACTAAGTTACTTGGCATCTAATATTGGGATGTGCTGTGAAAAAGATGACCAAACTCTTAGAGGGAAATTGCAATTTAGAGACGAAAAACGGTAAACATAAAGCATGCTCTAAGTGCTGAGGGAGAAACAAGGACAAGCACAGTGCTGTGGAGAAGAGAGGGAATATTAATGATAACTTGTAAGGAGAGGGGTTCTGGGCTGTCTCTGGAGGAGCAGGACCTTCAGGGACTAGCAGGACTCTGGGTAGGCAAAATGAGCAAGAACATCCTAAGCAGAGGGCACACAGGCTACCTACATATGATGAACAAATTGCCCCTAGTTTCTGTACTCAGAGATCCTCCCGGTTTTAGGAAAATAGCTCTCTTTAAGAACAATATTTTTTAAAATGAAAGATTGGTCTGTCCTGTTCTTGAGGCTGCAGTCAGGAAAGAATCCTAATTCTATGAGGAGGCAGTTAATAACCCTGCTTTTCCTTTTACCATAATGATCTTTTACAACCAAACACATAAATCAGAGTCAAAGCTCCATTTTGTTTTCATTTTAGCTCATTTAAGCTCAATTAAGCAAATGATTTTTTTCCAACAGGCAATCCTTTTCAAGGTCGATATTCAGATTCATTCATATCTCCTACTATTACCTACATAGCTTTCATGTTCCAAGCATATAATCTCCTTAGATATTCGTATGCTTTGTTTCTATGATCTGGCTCATGCTGTTTTTATTGACTTAAAAACTTTTTTTTTAAACAGCAACAGATTTTCAGAAGTCCAATAAACAAAGCTACGTGGGTTAAAGACAGTGGGGAGTGGTTCGGAGCCCCTACCTGTGAGCCCCTCCCTGAACTGAGCTCTGAGACACCTCCACGGAGACTTGGGCTCTGTGGCTGACAGTTTAGAAACCACTTCTCTAGGTTTCTCAATTGCCAGTTATTGCTCACTTCTTCCACCAAAACCTTGCTTGTGTCAAAAAGCCTGGACATGAATGTTACATTCTTCTATCTAACACATTAAGAATTTCTCTATATTCCTTTTCTTTTCCTGTCTGGACACTTACGAAAAAGTAATATACAAACAAATGATGGAATCTCTTCTTCCTGTTAGTGATGATTGGAGATGACAATGAAAAGATATGTTAACTTACAGAAGCCAGACTGCGTAAACTAGGAGTTAGTGTGAGTACTTAGATCATAGTAGCAGTTACATTCAAATTGCAGCAAGATGGATTTACGTAAAACAAGTGAAGAAACATGTAACTGAGCATCTTAAATATCTAAAAATATTAAAAATATTTAAAATCTGTAAATGTCCACCTACACAGAGAAAATGAGATAAATCCTCAGAGAAAGGAATCCATTTTAGAGGTTCCTTTTAAAACTACAAGTCTCCATTTGGTTTTTCATAAAGCTTTATTCAGAGGCTCACTTCTCACAGTCTGGGAAAGAATATTAATTCTCTTTTCCTATCTGATTTCTTTTATACTTAATAAAAACAAAACCTATAATCTGTCATCCATAAATCTAGTTTATTGTTGTTTTTGGCCACATGGGCAAAAATATCAGGTTGTAAAAACTATGGTGGTAGAGACAGACTTGTCTTTGTATTCAAGTAGTGGACTGATCACAATTATATTAAAACAAAACCTGTTATTTACCCAGAACTGGGAATCACAACTAGTAGAGACTGTGATGGAGTTTTACAACAGCCCTAGAACACATATTAAAATGGCAGTGGGTATTAGGAATGGAATTTATGACCCCGTCAACTTCTCCTTGATGGATACAGATCTTGCCTTTCCTCTGGCACCAGGTGTCTTCAATATACTCAAAGGAACAGTTCATCTAAAAGGCTTACAAAAGTGAGCAAGTTGTTGCTCAAGATCTCCCAGGATGCAGAGGACTAAGAGTTCATTAAATTGCCACAGGACACTAACTGCCCCTTCCACTGCTGCAGCCAGTTGGTTTATTGCAAGCACCGATTCTCTACAGAGAACGCTGGCAAGTTCACGCTGGGTATTAGCTCGTTCCCCAAGGACAATTAGCCTGTCCAGGTGTGCTTCTGGTTGTTTGGCTAGTTCCCAAATTAGCTGCCTGCTCATGGCCACTTCTGCAGAAACACTACTGGCTAACAAGTGGTAGTTCTTCCTCATCTGCTGAGGAGGTGGTGGGTTGGGCAAAATCCCATTTTCATCAGGTTTAAAGGCAAAGGCAGGGGTAACTTAATGGAGGTGCTCTGAGATACCCCTGCATCCTTGGAGATGCTGCCAGAAGTGGAGTCTCTGGTGAAAACTTGAAAACAGGCTGCAAAGGAAAGTAAATATGTTGCTAAAAGGTCATCCATGTTATGAGAAAGCCTCAAAATTGGCAATATAAAGCAGGTCAAAGACATAGGTCTGTTCCAGATAGCCTTGCTAGCAGTGCTTTGTAGCTAGACTCAGAGGACAGAATAAATTGCTCTGCTCTGAAGTCACAAGACTGATCTTACCATGTTTCTCAATCCAGGTCAAATTTTCACTGAAGGTAAAAAAAATTGGTAAAAAAAACAACAAAACAAAACTCGAAAAAGCAGTCAGCATTTTACTGTTAGCTTTTTTAGATGTTCTCTTGGAAGTCTCTTTAGCAAATATCTACTTGATTATTTTTTCATCGGGAATAGGTAACATACTATAACGGGACCCTGTATGAGAAAACTTACGCAGTTTAACCTACAACTGGCTTTTCTTCAAAGCCTAGATGTCCTGAGCTGGAGACAACACACAGGGCCACACTTCAGTTTGTTCTGTAACATGACCGTGTCCCAAGAACATCATGTTTGAGCTGAATTGTGTCTCCCCCAAACTCTAAATTCGTATTTTGAAGCACTGCCCCTCAGTATGATGGTATCTGGAGATGGGGCCTTTGGGAAGTGATTAGGTTTAGATAAGGTCATGAGGGTGGAGTTATGATGGGATTAGTGCCCTTAGAAAAAGAAACCAGAGATTTAGATCTCTCTCCACTATCTGAAAATATAATAAGATGGTAGTCTATAAGCCAGGAAAAGGGTCCCCAAAGACACCTTGATTTTGGATTTCCCAGACTCTACAACTATGGTAAATCAGTATCTGTTGTTTAAGATACCCAGTCTACGGTATTTTGTTATGGGAACCTGAGCTAAGACAATGTTGACTGAAGCTTGGTTCTGTTTCCTGGTTACTTATATTGGGGGAAGGGGACTGAGAAGAAGATTTAAAAAATTAACAACAGACCTTGAGAACAAAGTTACTGCTTTAAGAGATGTAATGGTGTGGGGGCAGACAGAGACACTAAGAATGCTGGGTTTGTCAAAATCTGAATCAGTGAAATCTGAGAACTGCAGCTGTGAGCTGAATATGATCCTCTTAGACTTTGGACTCTTATCTCTCTGAACCTGAAGTAAAAAGCTATCATTCTGAATAAGTAGATACGTGCAGCTTGTTTTAAATCTCCAGATCACACCTATACCATGTCCTAATATGAAATCTCCCATGAAACATCCATTTTGTCCCAGAAACCACCTCAAATGGAGGCTGCTTGTCTATACAGTGAGCTGGATACAAGGTTCAGACAACTTTAGAGATTACTGTCCGGGTCCTCGTTGTCTCTACCAGACTGACAGAGGACATAAAATCCTGAGTCCCTCTTAGTCATCTCAACTCCAAGTGATAAGAAAAACATTTCAGCCCAGAATTTAAGGGTGACCCCCTAAACATATACATTTGCCTGAGATCAGAGCATGCAGATTCTCTATGCAGCCCCAATATTTCTAATACCTGAACATGAAGTCTGTTCTAAGGGGTCCTCAAAGTTCTCAGTCCTGGGAGCCATGTTGCTGACATCCTGGATAACCTGCCCTTGCTTGTTGGGCTTCTCAACTCCCTTCTGACCCATGTGCTATCTTGTACTGAGATTCTGTGGGTCCTCCTGGACTGTGGCTTCTTTTCCTTGGGAGGCATCTAGATCTGGTGGACTCTGGTTCTGGCACCTGACCTGAACAGCATCGTCTCTCATGTTTTCAGGCTCCAAAGAGGGATGTGTATAGAGAACTGATCTACAGTTTTGTAAAAGGTTGTGTGTGGGGATCCACCACTAACTGTACTGGTATCAAGGTGCATGGACATTTGCATTCTGGCCCACAGAGTGCTTTTGCCTCATTTACTTTGCTTCACCATGCGTCTTCATGACAGTGGATATTAGGATGCTCAATATACTGAGGCTCCCCAAGGACGGAAAATGATTCTTGCCCTGACTATGGGATAGCTACAACTCTCTGGGTTTAGACACACTGGAGACAGGAATGAAAATGAGCAAATGACAAAAACAAAACAACCCCCAAAACAAAAAAACATAAAACAAAAAAATAAAGGAAAAAGAAAGGAAGGTACCTGACATTTGGTGGCAGGCTTAATGACTATGACTCTTAGAAGGTTCCTAGTGGACTCCTTGCATTTCCTGGAGCCAACTGCTTCTGTTGACTATGAATACAGAGGTTTGGCTGGGTGTCAGGCTATTAGACCACATGCAAATGGCAGGTGGCTCCCCAGGAAGGAAATCAGTGCCACTCCACGTTTTCCCATGAATAGCTATCAAACTATGCTAAAAAAAAATGATTAGTATGGACGTGGATCAGTTGTAGAGGACCTATGACTTTGGGCGGGGGGGAGTACCATGAACTAAGAACTCAGAGGCATCAAAGATGCCAAGCAAGGGGGAAAATGCCTCCAGAAAAAAAAAAGGTGGTATAAAAGCAGCACTAGGTTTCAGAGAAAGGTTAACCATCCCATCTGTGTAGTTAAGAGACATGAACTAAGTATACTGCTACCACAATACACCCTTAAGTAACCAGAAGTTGGGGACAGGGGACAGGATAGAGAATACAGAACTGTTGACAGGATTTTAGCCCTTATTTTGAATTTGGGCAAGAAAAGTATGTTAGAAAACTCCACATCTATGAAATAGCTAAATTTTCTAAAATTTGTAAGGAAGGTAGCCTTCCTCAGTGTGCAATTGATCCTCCCGTCTGGGAATCAAGTTGGAACCCTTTGCTAAATTAAAGGTCTTACAAATGTTATAAAGAACCCCCTGCTGTGGGGAAGTTTTTATTCTGTCTTCCCTGAAGTGTTTCCTCAGCACAGCACCATGGGGTGAGAGCTATGCCACAGGGAGATCTCTCACAACTTTACAGGAAAATGGGGGATTTCTTCTCAGTCACCTGTTAGGGAACCTAGACTGCATGGCTTTAAGTATGTTTTTTAGTTACATGAACTATCAATTAAGTCATATTGGTTTGAGAGGACTTAGAAGCACCTGAAGCTTCTAAGAAGACAGGGAGGATCTGGAAGTGAGGGTCAGGCTGGGAGCATGGGTAGTTGTGCACGGTCACACTTCCTGGCTCAGCCCATATAGCACTTCCTCTGTGACTGGCCCATCCGAAGTAGCATGATGACTTGACAAGTGAGAAAAAGTACTTAATATCCTCTAATCCTTTCAGTATGTAATAACTAGGGTGATCTGCTAGTGAAGCAGTTCAGGAGATGGAACATTTGTGACTTAGGTTTTCAACTATATAGTCCCTTGCTCCCCTGGCCCACCCACATTTTGAGGTTTGGACAGTCACTGAATCTGTACTTTGCTCAGGCTGCATGCTCAAGTGCACACTGTCTAATAGTAACAGAACTTGGGTACTTGATAGAGTTGACAGATGCAGGTGAAAACTCTGATTACCAGCTGCATGACTTTAAGCAGGTGACTTTCTAGTCACTTTTCTGTATTATGAGGATGAATTAAAAGGAAATAACATTTGTAAAACATCTAAGAAAGCATGTGATACATAGGCAATCTATAAGTTAACACTCACATTACCGTTAAAGTAGTATTCATGTAGATAACATTGCTTTATCTACATCAGTGTTATAGATAACGTTACATTACTACTGTAGACATTATTTCCCTAACAAAGTTTATTTTTTGAAGCATACGTAGTTTTAATTAGCCTTTGTGGAAATTTACTTCATTCAAACCCAACTTAATATAGAAACAAATAATTCTCTGTAGGAAATACTTCTCTCTCACCTTGGTTGTTTCACTGATGATTTGGAACTTGGTGCTGTCTTTGCCTATTGTGGCTGAGTCTAGTGATGCCTGATAGGTGGCTCTTCTGGAGAGCTGCTGTTTCTGACGCCTGCCGATATACAGAATATAAACATCTGAGAATTATTTGTGACTGTCAGCATCCAACAGACTATATTATCATGTGGAAGTCATTAAACTTCACTATGATGGTAAATGAACTGGGTCCAGGCAGTATTAGTACTCTAATAAAGTACTAACGGGAGTACTTTGTTATTAGAGTGCCAATAAAATTAGTACTAATAAGAATAATACGAATGAAATTGTTCAACATAGCACTGCCCAAGGATGGCATTTTGTCCCCTTTATTGAGAAGGTGGGGCAGTTTTCACAGATGACATTTATTGGCTTGTTAATTTTCCTTCCTCCTTCCATGAAATGTACACTTTAATAGAAACTCAATAAATTATGGAAATCCAATATAATCCAGTAACTTAACAAAATGACCAAGAGTTCCCTATAGAATTCCCTCTAAGGTACCTATTCAGAATTTAGGTGATCTGATTTTCTTCCTTTAGAGCAGTGTGAACAAATTAGAAAGTTGTAACATAGGATACAATTTTTGGTGGTTTCAGGTTTAGGATCACAGAAAGACACTCAACAGAAAGATTTTAAAGAAATGTTTTTTGAAGCTCTGGGGAAATAGGTCATCTTATATAGTGGTGATGGGAGTACAAAACGGTACAATCCCTATGGGGGAGGGGGCCTCTGGTAATAGGTACAATTTTAAATGTATCTATTCTTTGATGCAGTAATACCATTTCTGGAAATTAATCCTATAAATACACTTGTAGGTGTAGGAAATGACATATGTATAGCTTTTCATTATGGCATGATTTTATAGCTAAAATATTAAAAGCTCAAGGATCTAGCAATAGGAAGGAGACTGAATAAATCATAGTACATACTACACAGCTATAAATAGAGAGGACAATCTCTATATACTCATGCAGAGCTCTTGAGAATAAACTATAAAGCAGGAAAAAAAGTACACAACAGCATATATAGGAAGCTACTTGGTATAAGAAAGGCAGTGATATAAGAATATATGTATTTACAAAAAGAAATACTGGGAGGATAAATAAGGAATTAATAAATCTGGTTACTTAGAGGGACAAGATGTGGAATGGGGTGATGGGGACAGGCATGGGAGTAACACTTTTCAAAGTATATCTTTTTATATTATTTGACTTCTGAAACCTGTAAAAGTATTATCTATTCAAATACATAAACACTTTTAAAATATGTATTTATTGAGAAATTTAAATAAGACAATAAGTGTATAAAGGTGAATGTCTCCTGTCTGATGAATTTCTTAATGATTACATTTCCTAATTGACCCTTTCCTTAAAAAGCCTATAAACATTGCAATATTGAAATGTTTTGATCTAGGTAATACATTTCCTCTCCTTACCTGTAGAAAGCAATCTTGCTGCAATCTTTGAAAATGTTTTTATCCACAGCTTCATCTTCAACACTAAATAAAAAGACATTTTAAGAAACATATTTTCTACAAGGTTTGTGAATCCAATTTTTGTTCCTGTTCTAACTATAGCATGAATACAGGTAATAAACTTCTGCAATGCAAAACTGTGTCATGGCCATAACATAACACGATAGATGCTGTGCTGCAGAATAACATCCTTTTGTAAATCACACAAGATAAACAACAAAACATCAAGTTCTGGGATTACTCTGAAAGCACTGGAAAAAGAGTCTTGTCACTTATAAGGAAGAGTTCTTTTAAAATAATGGCTGAAGGCTATGACTACAACAATAAAATCAGAAGCAAAAACACACAAAAAACCCAAATGAAAAAAAAACAATCTACCCACTTATTTATTCAATAAAATATTTTCAGAATATTCCTACTGAGTGCTGGGCTCTAAGGAAGATATGAAGAGATGTGTCTGAGCTTCCTACAAGAGCCTAACCAACAAGCACAAATCAACCTGACAAATGCTTTAACAGAGGTATATGCAAGGAGTCGAATAATAGAAACAGATGTAGAAGGAAAATTTTTTGCTTTTTAAGATGATGCTGACAATTAGGAGCCAATGCTTTTTAAAATCAAGTTCCCAGAACAGCTGTTTCTAGAATAGAACATGAATAAGATACATGCATATTGCTACTAGAGAACATGTATTTAAATTAGCGTCCAGTGGCACCTGGCTGGATTAGTCAGTCCATGCAGATCTCGGGGTTCTGAGTTCAAGAGCCCCGTGTTGGGTATAGAAATTTCTTAAAAATAAAATCTTTAAAAAATAAATTAGCCTCCGTATGATTAAAACAACCATAGGCTGTAAGGAGGGGGAAACTTACACTGGCCTTCAGGCAGACATGTTGCTGAATACAGCTGTAGTCAGCATGTCTATGAATATGTAGGAAACTATGATTGAACACAAATTTCAAGATATTAAGAAAACAAGCCCACACAGATACACTTGGCTGTACTAAATTATTTTCTTGGAAGTCATCAAATCCTTCACTGATGCAGTCTTTGTTACTGTTTCTTTTAATTAAGTGCAAAGATTAGAGAAATTTGCAGTCTTTGCTTTCCAGCTTTGAAGAATGAACTCTGTAATAATATAGGAAGATGGGGGTACAGCTGAACATGGAAAGCAACATACTTGAAATTCACTTGTTATAGTTCTGATCACAACTCTTCCACTGTTTTGTAAGCCATCCTGAAAATATTTTGAGGGGCTATTAATATCAACTAATTCCCTGGGGAATTGAGAAAAAATGATAAAGATTAAGTACAAAAATATGAAACATGCAAATATAAGGCCTTCAAACAATCAGTAAAACCTTCAAAACTAGAATGTTGCTTTCAGGTGCTATCTATCCCCTGCTGACTGGATTCAGTCCCTGCAGGACCACCACTGGGCCTTTACCTGATTTCCTCTTTCCCAGCAGCTTCCATGGCTTCCCAGTCAATCCGACTGACTTTCAGCGCTCAGGACAAGGCCAAGGGCAGTCTTTTTAAAACGCCGATTGAACGTTTTTCTAAATTACAACCAGGACTTCACCACTGTCAGGTCCTGGGAAATGGAGTCCTCTCCAGGTCGTTAAGGAGTAGCAAATCTGCACTTACGCCTGGGTTTTCCAGGCCCAAACTTGAGTTTCTAGGGATTTAGTTGGCCACATTTTCTTGGTTACGAGCGCCCGACGAAGAACTGCTTTCATTAGGAACCAACACTGTCTTTGCAGTGGAGGGGGCGTGTAAAAGAGCCCTAGAGGATAAAAGTCAAGAGCGTGAGAACCAGGAAGTACCGAGACCGCTTGCCTGACCCAGGCCAAATTTCTGCAGGTTTATCTCAGTGACCGCGACGCCACAGATACTGAAAACTGACCCACTCTTTCAGTTTTTAATAGAAAGTGCTGGCCGGCTCTGTGCTGAAGGTTGATGTTCCCCGGTCAAATTCTGCAGCATCATACTTTTCAGGGCTAGAACGGTCTTTATAAAGGTCATATCTACTACAGTCGATACAGTTCAGTAAGTGCTTATACTCTACCACTGCCAAATTCCAGTCTTTGCTTAAATATCTCCAGAAAACCGAGAACTCACTACTACACACGAAACAGGCTGACTTACGGCTTCCCAGACTTCTGGCCCCAGCGATTGACTTTGATCTAGAAGGGATGAGAGGCTGGGCGAACGAGAGGAGGAGAGAGCCAAACGCTACACTGGGTGCTTGCTTGGTCCCCAGACCCTTTAAGGGCCGGGAGAGAGAAGCGCCGACCGAAGCGGATGCGGCTTTTGGTGAACATCCTAATGCTGCAAGGTGACCGTGTTACCACGGGACTACGCCTGCGCCGTACGGTCTAAAACTCACACGAGGTCGTGACGGCTGGCTTAGGGAGGGGCTGCTGGGTGGCAAAACAAACAAGCACCGCGAGGTTTCGAGGACCCGGATGATCCCGCCCCCAAGAGCAGAGCCGGAAGAGAGCGGGGCAAACCGGAAGAAGGTGAAATGCTTTCGGTAGGCGCTCCACGGCTGTGAAGATGGCGGCGGTTGCGTGGCTTCAGGTGCTGCCTGTCATTCTTCTTCTTCTGGGGACTCAGCCGTCCCCATTGTCGCTCATCGGTGTAGGACCGGCACCTGTCGCCGCTGCCGACCGATCCAAGTGGCACATTCCGATACCGTCGGTGAGTGTTCACTTCAGAAGCAACTGAGCCTGGAGGAGCAAGGGGTGGGGCTACGGCGGCCCTAGGGGTCCATGAAGGTTTCGCAAAAGTCCGCTTCCGAAGGGGTGGAATTACCTGGAGCGTCTCTGTCGCTGGTTAGCAGGGACCCTGGAGCGGAAAGCCGTGCACTTCTGTGGGTAGGTTAGCGGGAGTGCCAGGGCCACTTCAGGACCGGAGAAGAATGGTGGAGCGGTTTCTTACCAGCTAAGTCAGAACTTTGAATGCTTTATTTGAGACGGGAAAGTTGATGAATAGGTAGAGAACGGTTTCCCTTTCAGCCGAAGTTTCACAGAATCCAGTGACCCCGAGTTGGATGAGAGAGATCTGGAAATAGGTGTTTCTCTTTTTTTGCTCTGCACTTTTTTATAACTGGATGATTCTACTTACGAAGTTGTTTGATTTCATTGGAACTTTGCAGTGGTTATTCTAAGCTTTGCTGTGTGATTAGGAAGCCTAGGCATTATAAAAAATGTATTCTAACATGAGAATGGCTGAAATGGAAGAAATTGTATTCTAAAATTTGATATGGTAAAGGTAGTCTTTCTTCTGGACAATTTACTAGATAGGTTGAGCCTTTCTGTCCCCCCACCCCCCTCCTTTAAACCTCATTGAGTAAGAGCTATAGTCCTGCGAGCCAGCAAATCAGATGCACCCAGGAAATGCCAAAAAGCATTTTGTCCTTTTGAAACCACGGTAGCCTTTTTGTTTCATTCTGCTCTGCTCACTGGTTGTAATGTCCAAATCTTATTTGAGTTTTCACGTAGCAAGCATTATAGCTTTTGTTCATTTGGTGAAGATCTTTAGGTTCTTACTTTTAGGTGTTGTTGCTAAAATGGTTACTAGTTAAATTCGTCTTGTCTGCTCATACAGTTTATTTGAAGAAATGATTGGATAATTCTGAACAGTGATTAGTGGGTAAAGGGAATAAACTAATGAAGGAGTACCTCCCATGAAGATTTAAGTTGGGCTTTCTATCAGCTTCTCTCCTAGAGTCCTTGCTTCATGGCCTGTGGGGGAAAAGATTGTGTCTGCACCAAGCTACAAAACTGCAGTTTGGATGTAGTTGAATTTTACTAAAAGGAAGGATATTGATTTATTTTTTGTTAAGAAAACTAACTTAAACACTTTATAAATTTAGGTTTTTATAACAATTATATTCTGCCTTGGGAATTAAAGTGAGCTGATGCTAATTATCTTTCTCTCCTTTATCTTTGCAGGGGAAAAATTATTTTAGTTTTGGAAAGATCCTGTTCAAAAATACCACTATCTTTCTGAAATGTGAGTTTTTGCATTTCATGAAGTTTTTATTTGAGTTTTTAAGTGATCTTTAAACTTTTTAAATTACCTAGTTTCTATCTCTGACCTACTCTAAACATGAGCTTTAAAATTTAATAGTCTGGCACTATCTAGGCGTAAACATTGTAGTGTAATTAAGGTCTTTTCAGTGAGTAATTTTCAGAATACTTGTGTGAACTTTATTGTCTTCTCCTGTTTCTCTGGTGTTTACTATACACAGTTAGACAAATTATGTTGTTTGATTGTCTGGTGTTTTAATCTGTCCTGTGTTAGAGAGATACCACTGACTTTGCTTTTGTGTGCTTGTTAGATGTTTACTGGACACATGACTTAGGTTTATCAGACCTTTGGCTCTGAATGAGTATGTTCAGTAAACCTTTGTTTACAGGAGTATTTTACTGTTTGGATCTTTGGAAGAGGAAGCTCCAAGATATTACCGGGGTATAGGGATTATATAGAACAAAACCAGTCTGTCCAGTGAGAAAACCACTGTATCTGAATCCAGAATATCCTGTTGCATATTTAAAAACGGCTTCCTTTTATTTTTGAAACTGGCTTTATTTTAGGGAATAAATGATCATGGATAAAAGTTCAGATCATCCATGTGTGCTTCTTTGCATGTCTTTATCCATGAAAGTGCAAAATTGTAAGTTGTAGTTGGATGATTTTGTTTTAATCATTTAGTAAGTAGTTATTAAAAACCTACTATGTGCCAGGCATTGTTTTAAACAGCAGGGAAGTGATAGAAAAGGCCCTCTCTCTTACTGAGCTTACAGTCTAACAGGAGTGAAGGGGGCCAGTAAAATTTCTATAAAGAATAGACAATGTCTACGAAAATACAGTCTCTTGACTAATGACTTAAATTTGGTTTAAATCAGATTCCTGAAATAAACTGGTCTGTCTTGTGAGGTTGATGTGCTACATAAGAGTAACTTTTAGGGCGCCTGGGTGGCTCAGTCGTTAAGCGTCTGCCTTCGGCTCAGGTCATGATCCCAGGGTCCTGGGATCGAGCCCCGCATCGGGCTCCCTGCTCAGCAGGAAGCCTGCTTCTCCCTCTCCCACTCCCCCTGCTTGTGTTCCCGCTCTCGCTGTGTCTTTCTCTGTCAAATAAATAAAACCTAAAAAAAAAAAAAAGTAACTTTTAGGGATAACAGTATTTGGTTTTTTGGAATAGCATGACAGCCTGCATGCTATTCTACCTTTTTATCATGTATAGTCTTTTCTCACCTGTATTTTGATCAACTGGTGCTTAGCCAGCTTACACAAGCTGCATTATTTTGCAGTGTTTACATTTTATTTTTTTGGGAGAATTTGAGGCTCCTAAAAAATTACATTGTCTTTCATTTTGTTACTTCTCTGCTTTCTCACATTTACTTTGTCTCTGATTGTATACTTTAGGGCTATGGTATATAGCTTTCCATGAAATTGTCAGGCCCATTTTCATCTCTTAATGCCATCCATTCAAAGTTCTGAATGGTGTCTTTTAACATATATAGTAGTATTTTTTCAGCCAAGTCTTTCTGTAGATCTTTTGTTTAGGGGATTTTCTTATTGGCTCTGTTGAGTTAATCCCATCTTTGTATGGTTCTTCTGAATAGTTAACAGTGAGAGATCACAAATATCCTTTTTATCATTTCCATAAATTCTATTTAGCACATCAGAGTATTTTAATTGACCCTCGTAAAAGTATGTCACTTGAAAATTAATTTGAGAAAACAATTCAAAACAAAGAAAAGGGAAAGGTAATAATTTTAGGTGTGGACCTTTTGTTAAGAACCAAAAATAGATTCCTAGATGCAGTCATGTTTATCTTTGTCACATTTGTATAAAGCAGGTATCTTCTAGTATATTTTCCATAACGCAGCTGGAATCAAAGATAAACTGACTTCCTGGTGGGACAGCTGATCAGTGATACAGTCAGATTTGTGCTCTCAAATTTTCAGACTAATGCCTTGGTCCACTAGAATATTGTGTTCCAAACTATCTTTAATTAGTTATGAGGCTCTGACTTCATGAGGTTCCTTGAGGCCTCTCTTAAGGTGGGTTTTGGAAAGAGTCTTTCATTTTTGCTTTTGGTCTTCCTACCTTCCCCAGCCAGGTTTGCTTTTTTTCCTTTTTTCTTTCTGTCTAGTTTTGATATCTTTCAAGGTCTAAGCCATTAATTTTTCCCTCAGTGGAACTATTTTGAATACTGCCTTATGATGTCCTTAATGTTATTCCTTGTTTCTCCAACTAGAATGTAGCCTCCTACAGAGTCCTGTTCTCTAGCCTAACACAGTGTCATGTAGCTTTGTATACTTAAGTGCTCTGCTCAGTAAATATTTGAATGATAATAGAAGACTGGTTTTAACTTAGGACTGCTATATCACTTCCAGGTTTTTTCCAACAGAGAACCAGAAATTGAGGTTTTAAGGCATAAAAGTGGATATACTTAAGCAGGTCAGAAACTTCTTTTGTGAACAACAGTACTTTTATCTGAAGAATATCCACTTCTTTTTACGTATATAACTTCAGTACCTTGTGTTCGGAGAAGAGATGGTCTTTGAGTATCTAAATTTAGCAGGAAAAATAGAATGTGGGGTAACAGTTTAGGAAAAATGCTTTGGGAATCATCTTTATT